TATTAATATTGTAAAAGTGTAATTGCTTTGATTACAGCATTTTTCTTTACCACTGAACGATGTTAAGCTTCGATATATTTCAGGTCCAAACCTCTGTTTCATGGCAGGTATGTAAAAACGAGCGACGATTTTAAGCAAACTAACGATCGAAAAAAATGTAGGGTGTGTTCAAGGTTCGCTAGCATTGCGTTGGCGCTTATATATTGCTAATATGCCCGTCCTGTCACTCTATGAAAATGACTCCGTCGTGCATCTTAACCACGGTTAAAAAACATCCGAATGTAAGAAATAAAGTACGTGGACTACGAAAGGTGTGCCTTTTTATTATTTCCTATGTCGGGCAGTTTTTATCGGGCACCCGTTCTCTGTCTTCTCCGTATTTGCAAAGATTTGGGGCGTGCGGTTGATGATTTGAACCCAGAACATGCATCTTTGCACATATTCACGAGCAGAAAGAATAAAGCAGTTCTTATTTATTGCAAATCGGCCTGTATTACGCGGCTTTCAATTTATTTTGGTCGCCTGCATGCAGAAGGAGTTACTTATCCAGTGTCACTGCGTAGTTCTTGCCGTCTCTTTTGGTTTTCCTCATGTCCTCCGTTCGTTTGACACGTATATCCCCTATGGTGGAAAGCGCCAATGCCGTGTTCGCGCTAACAGTGTCCGACAGTGCACATAAATACATGTACGAAGTGGTTTTAGCACCGTTTTTCATGCCACGAATTTCAAATAAAAACACCGTAACTGACCAATTATTTCGTCTGCGTGACTGAGAAATGTTCCAATGTGCCGGTACGTACGAAATATTCGTGATATTTGCTCTTATAATGCAGCGAGAAAATGCACTCGCTTTTTTCCATAGAAATGCATTACCGGAAGTCAATTTCCGACTGGTTGCTGTCTGCTTCAATTTGCAGCAGCACACCAGCGCCACTTGAACCTCTAGCGTACATTATAATAACTGTATGATTTAAAGAGCCTGGCGCCTCCTTGAATCACCCTTTAAATGCATGTCCGAAACACCCCGTCACACGATTCGTGTTGACCGTTTGAGGCGGCCTAATCACACTAACAATCATCTTTATCACTTCAAATAAAGAAAATCTTTCTCTCCAATCACAATGAAAACAATATTTATTTTTATTTTTACACAAGCTATGATCTAAGCAGAGTTCCGTTCGGCATTCAAAGACGTGCAAACGAGCGAGTGCGACACTGAAATTGCGATTAACGCTCTACGTGCTCTTTCAAAGTATCATATATACTTGCACTTACCTCTTCTTCGCCGCAAGAGGCTCTAAGGATTTCCATCCCTCCTCGGTGTCGTCAGTCTCGAAGAAAAACTTCGCTGCGTTTCTTCGAGTCATGACGGCAAGTGGTCGTCTGCTATTTCCCGCCAACGGTGTTACATTTTCTGTTTGCCATAGCTCAAGACGAAGCCAATCCGAAAAGTATCCGGACGAGCCAGACGATGATCGATGATTCCCTCCGTTCCAAAATTGAGTAATGATCATGAATCCTTTACTCACTGTGTCACGTGACGTAGCAGACAGGTTACTCGGGTACCGTAACTCGTGTAAGGTTTGGAACACAGCCATAGAGGTCACTATAGGTGGCGCCACTCGTCTTCCAAAATGGCCGGTTTAGTGAGGGTCGGAGATGCGTGCCGCTGCTGAGCCTGTCTAGTGTGCTGGCTTCACTGAGTGACACAAATTATTTCTGGTAATACTAGGGAGCTAGGGTGTTATGAGCGCAGGTCACCTCTTTATCCTGACAATAAAAACGGTATGTAGCGTAATATTTAGGCCAGGAGGTACGTTTTAATTCTGGAGCAAAACCGAAACTAACCTTTATTTGGATTTAATTTCTCGGTATCGGTCTTAATTTCAGATTCTTTCATAACTCAAAATGTTTCTCACACCGTAATTATTTAGTTAAAAAGGTTGTTCGCGAAACCTTCTTCCCTTTAAAGACAGGGTCTTTCATACACCTTAGAGGTAACATAGAATGCTGTAGTTAGAAAATTCAGTGCTGATATTTTTGCATTCTTGCTGCCTTTCTCGCTCACATAATTGTCATATAAACCAATGAACTGCGCTCCTTTCAATGGCTTTTCGGGTATTTAGAAGATTCATTGCTTTAATATCTTTCACAGCACAAGAATAACAGAATAAATCCAATTTATATGATATGTTCACAAAACGTATGAATTAATATTAAGAAACGCTGTTCTCACTAGGAAAATTCAAAGACAAAATCCGAGTCGGGCAGCTGAAGTGTGCGTCTTTTTAAAGCAACGTGTGACGCATATCAGTTTATATTGCATCCAGTGTTTGACTGTTTGTCTATCTTGGTAACGATGCCAGAGGTCTTCATGTGCTAATAAGAAAACAAAATGACACCTTTCAGAAAAGACGATCATTGTTAAATGGCGTATTTCTGTGATTGTACGGTTAATTAGGGGCATATATTGCCGCGATCTTTATTAATAATGTTATAAATATTAATATTAAGATATCTTAATACGTAAATTTCAAGCTCTAAAATAATTAGTTGTTTATGATCTAATTTCAAACGCGCGAACAAGTATGACAATCTGAAGTGTGCTAATTATCATCACTGGTGCCAATTGCAGCATTTTTAATTACTAAGTGAAAAAATAAATAAATTCTGAAATCAATGACGACATCCTAGCTAATCTGAGAAATTCATGTAAAATTAGATTAATTGAGGATGCTATCAAAGTAGCGACTTTTGACAATCGGCAAAACTTCCAAAGTCGCCACCAATATTCTTCCAGACCAAATGCCCCCTCCAGAAAAAAAAAAAAAAAAAAAAAAAAAAAGATTATTTTTTTAATTAATACTCTTTTAACATTCATATCGTTTCGTATTTGCTCGCCGTCGTTTTGCCATCCTCAGCCTTTCCAGTTTGAAGGAACACCGACCTGCCTGCGCGTCCGCTCACTGCAGCACGTTTCGTTGGTGTTGGAAAACGGTGAAACAGTAGTGAGTTTTAGTATTGCATATACGAGCAAACGCAAGCGCTGTGTGTGTGCGTTAGCTTTGCATGTTCCACACTGCGCGTGCGCGGAGGCCAGGATTGCGGTCTTGGATTGGAGCATGGCAATGATGCGCACGCGCGACGTGGAGCAGGCTACCCTAACGCAAACGCACAGCGCTTGCGTTTGCTTCTATACGCTATACTCAAACTCTCTAATAAGGTACAATCTCATACGGGCTGCAGCACCACGTTGGGACAGTGAATAGTGTAGTTTGCTTTCGGAAACGACATTTCGCGAGCCATGATCGCGCGCAGTTCCGCCGTGCCCGCTGAGCAGGAGAATCGGGGGACCCTCACTAGAGCGCTTCCCGTTTCCGCCGTGGGAGGGCGAGCGGCGAGCTGGAGACGCGACACCCTGCAATGGATCGCTGGGCACACTACAAACCAACAAAGCCAATCCAGTGGCTTGTGGGTGTCATGTGCTTTTCAGAAACCTGAAAAACGAAATGAAATTGCAACATCCGCCGCGGTCCATCGAAGGGTGGTTCGCGTGGTTCGCTTGGTGTCCTTGCTGCGCTAAGTTCGCAAACTAGTCGAATCTCAAGCAGTCTCAAGCCCGCAGGTTCGACGAAAGTTCGCCGGATTCCAGAGCCAGCAGCCAGCCAGCCCAGGCCAGCCAGCTCTGAGCTCCTCCAGCCAGCCGGCCTATGCAGCCGGCCAAGTGGATTGGTTTCGTCAGTCGTATGCATAGAGTTATTATAATGTACGCTAGAGGTTCAACTGGCGCTAGTGTCTATGCGACTTCCGTGACGCAAATTGAAGCAGACAGCAACCAGTCTACTTTTCCAGTCTTCCCGTGTATTCCTATGGGAAAGCGCGCGTGCATTTTGTCTCTTCGCCGGAAAATAACACGGAACACTTTGGTTATTTGGGTCGTACCGAATAATATGTGCCTTGATTACCACTGTAAAAGTGTAATTGCTTTAGTTAGCGCATTTTTCTTCATCAGTGACCGATGTTTAACTTCGCTACATTTCAGTCCCAAACGTGTGTTCCGCAGCAGGTGTGTAAAAACAAGCGACGATTCGAAGCAAAATTACAATCGAAAGGAATGTAGAGTGTGTTCAAGGCTCGCCAGCAATCCGGTGACGCTTATATATTGATAGTATGCCAGTCCTGTCACTATATTAAAATGACCCCGTCGTGCATGAGCGGATAAAAACGTTCAAAACGTAGAGAATAAAGTCCGTGGGCTATAAAAGTTGTCTCTTCGTATTTTTTTCTCTGCCGGGCAGCTTTTATCGGGCACTTGTTCTCAAAGATTTCGAGCGTGCGAGTGATATTTTGAACGTAGAACAAGCAGCTTCGCTCAGAGCAGAAAGAATAAAACGGTACTTACTTATTTAAAATAGAAATAGATTACGTGGCCTTCAATTAATTTTGATCGTATATACACGTGTAGTTCCTGATCCGGTGTTACTGCGTAGTTCTTGCCGTCTTTCTTAATTTCCAGATGTCCTTCGTTCGTTTGGCACGTATATCCCCCACGCTGAAAAGCGCCGACGTCGTGTTCGCGCTAACAGTGTCCGACAGTGCACATAAATACACGTACGAAGCTGTTTTAGCACCGTTTTTAATGCGATGAATTTGAAAGAAAAACACCGTAGCTGACCAATTATTTCGTCGGCCTGACTGAGAAATGTTCCAAGCTACCTAGAACGTACGAATTATTCGGGATATTTGCTCTTATGATCGAGCGCAGTGAGAAAATGCACTCACTTTTTCCCATAGAAATGCATTACCGGAAGTCAATTTTAGACTGGTTGCTGTCTGCTTCAATTTGCGTCAGCACACTAGCGCCACTTGAACCTCTAGCGTACATTATAATAACTCTATGGTCGTATGTCTCATCTCAGCAGAGTTGCCGAAGTGGCGGTGTTTCCCCAACCACGACCGAACGTTGCCGTTGCCCAGGTAACCAAGTTTTGCGAAGTCAACCAGGTTCGGACCATAGGCCGTTTAGGCTCCGTAGGCACATCGCAACTGCGGCCCCGATCGCTGCGATGAGAGCGCACTTCGGCATGGTTTCGGGTAGGGTGTTCTTGGGAGCGCGGAGCAGAGACCCGGCGTTCTGACGCCCGCTATCCCCATCCGATGAGCGGACCGGCCTCGCAGGGAAGCGACGACGGAACCGTGTGAGTGGCCTCCGCTGAATCCGGACGAGCCTTGTCGCGCAATGCACAGACGGCTTCGTCGCCTTCGTTCGCTGTCAAAGACGCTAATCGTCGTTTCGCCCACGCTTCGAGCGCCACATTAATCGAATCCAGTTGCTTACGGGTGCCAACAAGGCTGCGTCGCACGCATGCATGCTCGTGCCAGAACGGTGTACCGGTTTCAGATGGAGTTAGCTGATAAAACCCTGTGTAATCTCTTTTTTAATTATGACTTTAGAGGCTTTGGAATGAAAGCATATGTTCGCGTTCCATGAACGCGTCCATATAACACAGGCTTTCAAACGAGAGGCTCGTGCCAGCGCTCGTGGTGCACACGCACGTCCTTTTCCTAAACGCCGCAGCGATTTCTGAGAAAGGTCGGAAAAATATACCGAGAAGCATTTGCTATGATTCAACTGAATATCCAACAGAAAATATTTTTAATCAACTCTGTATAATGAAAATTCATGATTTGTATATTTACCATCTTATGGGCTAGAAGAAAAGATCATCAGTCGCTGTCTCGAAAATTCGGCTAATTAACAGAGAAAGTGTATACATATATAACCAACACGAAGTATGCATGGGAAGTACAATTTATCAGAACAAATATGGTCATCACACATTAACGTACACTCTTCCGATCATTCTCAACCAGCTTAGTGTCAAAAATATTGAAATTAGCAGTATAAATGTTCTTCAACCCTATCACCTAATTCCAACAACAATCTGTCATGTCTACGGTTCTTTTTTTAATGTGCATATAATGTGATTTAATGTAAAATCTATTAATGTTTTTCTTTTCCTTTTTTTGCTTGTTGTTACCTGTTAAATGCATAAGTTTGCTTTTAAAAATGTGCTTCATCATGCTGTTGCATTTATGGGCGGCTTGAAACCAGTCAAGCTGTTTTTGTAAATAGCATTTTTTCCTCTTCTCCCCCCAACATTGTGTTTGTCGGAAAATAAAGGGAAATATTATTATTAATTCATTAGCCTTAGTACCTACATGACAGGGAAAAGCTGATGGCATCTGTCTGTGGACAAAGCAGTGGAAAGGGAAGCTTGCCACATAGAGAAGAGGAGAGTAAGAGAAGTGGTAAAGGAAAAAAGCGAGAGGGAAGCAATGTCACAAGGCAGAAGCCAATGCGCGTGCGGTACACCAGTGAACAATGTGAGCAGTGTCAAAGCTTGTGGGACGTGCGAGCGAGACGGAGGAGCGGAAGCAGTGCCCAGCTCGGCTTGCCGAAATGCGGCACAAAAAGTGGCAAGCCGATGCAGGTCTGGGTGCGACAGAGGCTGGGACAAAGTGGGCTTGGCGAGCCCGCTTCACTGGAAAGAATTAAAGAAAGATTTATTGGTTGATCCTTGGGAAATATGTTAGCACGACCTTTGTGAAACGGCACACACGTTCCCCTTCGGGAAACGCTAACACTGACCGTGTAACAAAGCCAAAAAGAAGCGGCAAAGACCAAAGGAAGCAAAAGAGAAAGCCGAAACAGAAAAGTTAAGAGGTCAGTGTTAATGTTTCCCAAAGGGGTCAGTGTGGCATTTCTCAATTGTCATGCTAACACATTTCCTAAGGATTCACCAATGAATCTTTCTCTATTGTTATAATTTTGAGCATGAATACAGCAGGGTTGCTGCCACTATAGAACAGATGGGAGTAGAAATAATTTCAGTTTGTATCTGTAGAGCTGCATGGCACAAAGTGCCAACCATTGTGGTTACGGCTACTTGACTGCATACTTGTGGCTACTATGCTCATCTGCTTCGCTGTGAAAACCCATCTGCAAAAGAAATAGATGTCAAACAAATTTATACTCTGGTGCTGGATATGGTGGCTGCTGCCTGAATGGCTTACTTAACCTTCCCTTTTGTCATGGGCAGATTAAGGGGGGGGGGGGGGGGGGCGGAGTGGAGGTAGAGGAGGCCAATACCCTTCCCTAAGCTCCCCAAGGTCAACTTTGTTTTAATAAGATAATTGATATACACCAGCCAAAAGTTTAGTTTTTTATGAAATAGCAAAAGGTGACATAGGTCAACAAAATAGATCTGGGCAATGTTTCGACCGTAACGTCATAGCTCAGCAGACTCCCCCTTCCCCCTCCGCCAGCCAAAGGCCAACCCGCCCCCCCCCCCCAGGTTTGACCCATAAATCCGCCCGCCCCTGCCTCTTGTACACCAAGAAGATTGGAACAGCACCAGGTAACATGGTAATCTGCAGACTCATGACCAAGGTGCACTGCATGCAAATGGTCTAGCCCATATTTGTTCCAGACTGACAGCTGCAATAACTGTCAGTAACCAAGGGAATGTCGGTGAATTCTTCAATGTTTTGCCTCACAATTCTCTAGTGAGGATCACAGCCAGGCAGTTAGGAAATTCTTTATATCTTTAGAGATCAGGTTTGACAGTACTCCCCTCACTCTCCACAAACTAGGGACTGAAATTACAATCTAAGTACAATAATCCCATATGTTTAGCGCTCACTCTTTCCTTATGCGAGGATTCCTACTGGTCATATGAACTATATTTATGCGACATGCACTCAAGGCAAGGAATTGGGACTGACAGCTTGTAGCATTGTCTCCTTGCTTCCTGTACATGGTGGTTGTCCAAGTTGGAGGAAATGAAAACCCACTGTGTCTTTCATCTTGTCGAGTTGCCCAAGAACAAAAGAAAAAAAGCCTGGCACCTATATTTTTGTGAGTCCCTTCCTCCTCGCAGCCTCACTGCATTTATAGGAGCAATGAATTCATACTCAAGTTTCGTCGTCATAGATTTGGTAGGGAGCAGCGGGCCCAGAGAAAATCTACGGCCCTGCTTGTGCATCCACTTGTTTGTCTTAGGAACTTGCGGTGCACCGAAAAAGACAACAGAAACTCCATTGAAACAAAGGACACTGCTATCAAGATCCAGCTTTTGTGCTTGACTTTTGGCAACCATTGGCCCGTGAAATGCTTAAAGGGACACTGACCCCCCCCCCCCCCAAACTTAAATTTTTTGCCAAGTGATTTAGTATGGGTGTCAGAAGACTACCCAATCAAAATTTTGCTACAGAGTCACATATATTCTTTATAGTGTCAGAAAAAGGAGCTGCTCTTAACCGAAACATGTGCACAGAGGTTCGGAAGAGATAGTTGCCGGTAGTCACGTGGCTATCACTCTCTACCTTGTTATTCTCCGTCCCTCTGCTTCTCGGGAGTGTGAAACAGACGACGACAACGAGGACGTTGCTTGAACCATTTCTCATGCATTTGTTTTGTTTCGCACTTATGCCCCTTCCCCTCTGCTCTGTTTTTGGAGATTGATTGACGAGTACCACGAACCACACTTGCAAAGTAGCGGTCCCACGTCTGTCGCGCGCCGCCATCGCGCCGTCCAGCACGCGGTACCTTGCCATATTGAGAATGTCGTCCACATCTACTTTTTGTGGAATGTATAACAATTGTTTTCGACTAACGTATTTGCATTTTCTGGGAAGCCACGAAAAATGTGGTTCAAATTCTTATCTATTTTTAAATTGAATATGTGCCTTAGATGAGCCACGACTTTGCGTCAGCTTCAACGGCATGTGACCATAAAAAAAAAAAAAAGAGTGAGCACACCTGAAACCGGCCAATTCTCAACCGGCGGTTTTTGGGCGGGAAGAATACAAATTTCAAGCCGCCAATGGTGTTCTGGGTAGTTGGGCTTTTGTTGGTCATGTTCAGATAAAAACCTTTGGCAAGCAGAAATACACTGTCAGTGTCTCTAAAAGACGTGCCTATTCGTGACAGCTGTCGTTTCAACATGGCTGGCCTGTCCGGGCAGTCTCGCTGCATCCAGCTGAGGTCATCTCTTCTGCAGGATCTACCGTGGAACTCTACCTGGCTACCAGGATGCCAGCTCAGGGTCCCGGGGCACCATTCCTACAATGTCTTCTTCGTGGGATGAGGTGAGTGGTCTACCCAACCTCGAGAAAGCTACGTTTTCGGCTCTTGCTTTCGCTGGCGAAATTTCTCCAGGCCTCAGATATTGCTTTAAGGGGGCTCTAAGGAGGCTTCTGAGATTGTCTTTTTATGATGCAAACTCAGTCTACATGCCCCAAGTGTCCTAGAAAACTCAAAATTATGATCTTGCATATCCTTTTTTATTATCAAAAACATAACCAAGCCTAACCTTTTCTGAGATATTTCCCAGGGCGTGGGCGTTTCGCGATGTTCGGTCGCATTTAAATTTGGAGCAATGTCGCACGTCACTGTAATATTAGATTTTTTTAGGGCGTGTCAATTAAGTTGTTGCCATAAAAGGTCATAGGCAAAATCCACTTTAGTCTCCCTTTAACTTCTGAGTAAGCTAGTGTCCCCTGGCTGAACATATGCGAATAAAATGTGCACCATCATGCGCTAGCCTTGTGGCTTACCTAACGGTAGCTCATTGCCAAACGTATTTCCCATGCAGAGCAGAACCATGTGTCTTTCTCCGTTGCCCAGCCCGAGCTGATCCGCGGCATGGGTCGGACTGGAAGAGAGTCGGGCGCACAGAGGTCCTTTTATGCGGCCTGGGCGAAGCCCGAGCGTCATGGTTCCGCTTTGCCGCTGACCTTTTTTAAACATTTCTGTAGGACCAAAGAGTGTTTCCCGTGATTTTGGGCAAAGGTTAGGACAACCAGCAAGAACGATTCAAAGCACCGAGACGTCTGAAGTGTCGTTACTCTGAAGCGCAGCTTCTTTGGTGGCTCCAACCGGTGCCGGACTCTGCATTACCACAGGAATTTGGCGCCGGCGCCACGGCCGAGGTGCAGCGGGCGCTGGACGCTGTGGACGGCTTCCTGTACGAGGGCACCTGTGTGGGGGTGCTCGGAGGGGAGCTGGAAGCCGAGTGCCAGCGCTGGGCAGACGCCTTCGTGCACCTGAGGTGAGGGCACCGTTCGGAACGTTTCTTTGGCACCCTCTGGATAAGCGCTGCCGAAATGTGGATGTTGAGCTTCGAGCCAGCACCTTCTAGACAAAAAGGCCATACTGTCCAATATTTTACTTCTGCCTAAGGAGACAAACAAGGGGCACGGATCAGACATGATTGTTGGGACATGATTGTTGTGTTGGCGTTTGGCCAAGACTCGTCCTCAATCGGCAAGAATACAGGTCTTGGCCAAACGCTGACGCAGTCCTCGTGTTCACTCTGTACCCTGCATTTGCCGCTTAGGATGACGGTGAAGATTGGACACTATGGCCTTTCATCTAGAAAGTTTCGATAGAGCTCAATTTTCCCCGAGATTCTGGATGCTACCTCGCTCCTGCGATATTTTGCCGAATGGCATTTAACCCAAATTATGGAATAATGGTTTGTATACTGTAAACGTTATCACACCGCTAGTGGCTGGAGAGGGTGCGAACTTTTGTCGAATCACAATGTTTGGCTAATTTTGCCAACCTTTGAACTAAGCAAAATTTGACAAAGATTGAGTTCAGACAGAGCTGCCCTACTTCTATACAAATATTGTGAAGTTTGTGAAAAAAAAAAAGAAAAACAATTCTACTTTATGGCAGTTTGTTTTAAACCTTCCACAATAATGTCCAGTGTTTGGATCATAAAAAGCAAACATAGAAACTTTTAACATCAATAAATTACACTTCTCCACCAAGTGGCATCAGTTAGTTTTCTATACCCACTCATGCCCAATTGTTGTAAGGTTTGTCCTTTGTGTCTCAAAACTTTGCATTTAATCTTAGAAAAAGTTGAACAGGTTTGAACTCAAACCTCAACGGGTCTGCAACGTTGCTACATTAGCATCACATTAGCAGAGTTTGCATCGGTAATATGGAACTTTTTCTAACCCATTGGTTCTCAATTATTGATGTTTCGCAGACCCCTTGTGGCTGGGTGGAGATGATGGAGGACCCCGTTTGTGGTGAGGGGAAAGGAGAGGTATAGGGTAATTATGATAATGATTTAGTAACTATATATAACTAAGGGCTAGTGTGAAGTACACCTCTTATTGACATACACACAAGATAACTCTTCCGAAAATTTAAATGTTTCTTCTCGGTCCGAAAAAATACACCTTTTATTGCTTTATTGCTGGTCTAAACCGATGAGGCAGGGCTTCACGGACCCCTAGAATAATGCCTTCACGGACCCCAAAGGGTCCGTGAAGGCATTATAATCAAAACATAATCAAAAAGGTACAGCAAAAGTTTTTTCGTATCATATACAATAGACAGATTGGTCATCGCCGTTTTCATAGCTATAATTCTTTTTTGGTAGACCTTAGCCTTCAGACTCTTTACGACAGGCGCCTGGCACGTGATTGGTCGTCGCTGTTTTTATAGCTAGAGTTCTACGTTGGCAGATTTAAGCATTCAGTCTCTTCATGACAGGAGGCGCGCACGTGATATGACATTTTTACGCCAAGTTGTGCACAAGTAGCGTTGACTGATGAGCAGTTGGCGTCGCTATGCTTGTCCATTCCGCCTAGGAAAACCTGTAAATGTCTTCACAGATTTTATACAGATATTCATTCAAAGAGCCCAATAACTTGATAACAATACACATACAATTCAATGTTCTTGCAAGTTAAGATTTTCAATTGACTTTTTTTTTTTATTTTAATGTACCGTGTTTGCACGATTATAACGCACACTTTTTTTCAGGAAAATGAGAGCTCAAATTTGCATGCGCGTTACAATCGAACCCATGAACCGAAATTTAAAAAAAAGTCAAAACTCCGTCATGGCTACATAGTATGCTAGGTGGCGCGGGCTACCACCTGTTTCAAACGTACAGCCGCTACGTATCCATCCATCTTTTTTTTATCACGTGGTCCAACCTCGTCGACGTGACGCCATCTTTTTGCGTTCCCGATAGTCACACCGGTCACTCCCGTTTCGCTCGTGTGTTCTTCAGTTGTATTGGCAAGATGGAGAAAAGGCGCGTTCATTATGAGGCGTCTTTCAAGTGCAAAGTCATCATCCTTGCGGAACAGGAAGGCAACCGAGCTGCATCGTGAGCATTGGGCGTCCCGGAGACGTGCGTGCACAACTGGCGTAAACAACGGGGCAGGATGTTCGCCTGCTAAGCTACGCGGAAAGGGTTCAAAGGCCCCCAACGTGGACGCTTTCCAGAGCTCGAAGACTCTCTTGCGGACTACGTAAAGGACTTGCGACTCAATCAGCTGCCCGTCTCCTCGGATGTGATCACGGTGAAGGCACTCCAGCTTGCAAGAAGGTGCAACATTCTCCGGTCTTATTTTAAGGCCAGCAGGAGCTGGATCTCCAAATCCATGAAGCGAAAGGGATTTTCGCTTAGGCGAAGAACCAGTATCTGCCAAAAGCTGCCAGAAGCATAGGAAGAGAAGCTGGTTACATTCCAGCGGTTTGTAATCAAGCTTCGCCAGTACAGGAGCCACGTGATTGGACAGATTGGAAACGCTGGTCAAACTCCCATGTTTTTCAAGATGCCATCGAACTACACAGTGGAATCCAAAGGCGTTAAGCAGGTGCGAATCCTCTCGACGGGAAACGAGAAGAATAGGATTACAGCGATGCTATGCTGCATGGCAGACGGGCACAAGCTGGACCCCTTCCTGATCTTCGAGAGAAAGACGCTTCCGTCGAACGTTACATTCCCTAAGAATTTTATTGTTCGGGTGCACTCCAAGGGCTGGATGGATACAGATCTCATGATCGATTGGATAGACTCGGTGTGGAGGAAGCGACCTGGTGCCGACCTGGGCGTGCATGCCATGTTGGTGCTTGACTCGTTCAGGTGCCATATCAGCGACCGTGTGAAGGACAAACTTGCAGCCTGCCACACTGACCTTGTGATCATCCCAGGCGGCATGACCTCTCAACTTCAGCCGCTTGGTGTCTGCTGGAACAAGCCGATGAAGGACTATGTACGTACAGCGTACAATGAGTGGCGGATTGATGGGGAGCACACGCTGACGCCGGCAGGGCGTTTGAAGAGGGCAACGCTCAACGACTTAGCAAAATGGGTACACGACGCCTGGGAGGCACTCCCTCGGGCGATGGTCGTCCACTCCTTTAAAAAGTGCGGCCTCTCCAACGCCTTGGATGGCAGCGAGGATGACTATCTGTGGTCTATGGACAGCGAAAAGGAGCTATCGTCGGACTGTGACTGTGACTAGTGTGGTGGTTCCGAGTGTATGTGTGAGTTTACTCGTTCCATAAAATGTGTCTTTCAGGTTTGTGGTATTCACTCTCCATTTATTTACCTGCGCGGTGCAGTCGGCATCAAGTTATTTTTCGAATATTTGAGGGCTAAATATACCTGCACGTTACAATCGTTACAAGCGTTACAATCGTGCAAACACGATAACTGTGCCAACAATTTAAAAAAAAATTATTATAGGTTATATTGATTTTATTGTACCCGTGTCAACTGTGTACTATTGCGGACCCTGTTAGCTGCGGCGGCCGTCCCATACCCCCAATGCCGCATAGCAGGCGCCTTCCACAACCCCGCGCGTGCGCCGTGTGGCAAACTCGCTCTTCCCGCCAGCGAGCGCACCTCTGCTTTGTCGTCTGCTAGGCGCAGAGCAGACGTCACAGCGCTTGCTAATGTTCGCTGAACACGGTTTTGTGTTCAGTGAACCACCATGTAAAAGGTGCATGAGAGGTGCCCACGGTTTCGTGGGCACCTCTTACGCGGTGGTTGATTCCCTGACTCACGTATATGCGTCCGCCTGACTGAGTATAATCATCACAATTAATTGTATATATCACGGTAGATTACTTTATTTCTCCCGGTCAAACTTGCAGTTGACTGTCTATTTCTGAATCACACCTGCTGCGCTCATGCTGGTTTGCAAGCGCATATTTTTGAAACATGCACTGTGCACGACTACTTCCAAAGAAAGCAAAACAAAAAAACAAAAAAATTACCGCATCTCCACGTGGTGAATGATGTTGATTGAGGCGAAGTACTGGTGGTGCTGATGATACTGATTTTTTTAGCATTTGACCGCAGTGCCCTTTCGTCTATAAACGTTGATCCAATGCATGCAAAGTTTAAGGCAATTATATACGCATTTGACCGCAGCACCTTCTCCTGTATAGACGTTGAGCGGCTACATGCAACGTTTCATCCATGACATCCCCAGCTCTTGAGTTACTACTACATCTCAGAGCCCCCTACTCGTCCCGCGGTCATGGCCGAGTGGTTAAGGCGATGGACTAGAAATCCATTGAGGTCTCCCCGCACAGGTTCAAATACTTTCAACTGCACAAACATTTTTTCTTTTTTTAAGAAGACTGATGGGATGGCAATCGATGTGAGCACGGACGCCGGATAAGGCTAGACCCTAAGGAGCTTCGCCCCTAAAAGAAACAAGAAAGGTAGACAGGGTTTATGCCACAATGACTCTGCAATCTGCCCCAATAAATATTTTCTGCCTAGAATGAGTGCGACACCCGTTCTTCATGGCGAGAATATCAAACGAGCAGAGACGGCTCTTAGTCGATCTGTGCCTAAATAGGCGCCCACAAAACCGTGTTCAGCGAACATTGGCAGACGCGTCGTCTGATCTACGCCTAGCAAACGACAAAGCGAAGGTTTTCCCGCAGGTGGGAAGAGTGAGTCCACCACACGGCGCATGCGCAGAGGTTTGGACGGCACATGCTATGCGGCGCTGGTGGTGCGCGACGGCCGCCGCTGGCGTGTTACAGCTAACAGTGTCCACGATAGTACAACTTCCTATTCAAGTCCCCATATATATGACAGCTCTAGTAGGCCTCATGGCTTTTGATAGGCACTGAATGAATTACTATCTGCCTATCTCATCTGTAAAGACCACATTATCCATGCCTCTTTTCTTCTTTTGCCGAAAAATATCTTATTTATGCCTTTCTACAAATGCATTGACTTCTTCATATAAAAAAATATCATCTGGGTGGGACCACCTTCCAGCATATCTAGAAAACATACCATCCCTTAATTTATTTATAGAAGCATCAGCTAATCACCTTTGCTAATATACCAGTCTAGACCAATGATTATTTGACAATTATATTCTTTGCAGTCTTGGTGCTTTTAAAAAGTAATTTTTTACAGTTACAGTTACTTTCGAAGAAAAATAGCAAAGTTACCGTTACAGTTACCACAACAAAAAAGTAACTCGTTACAGTTACGATCACTTTTGAAAAGTAACGACGTTACTTTTCAGGTACGTTTCTGTAACACAAAAAAAATTAAGAAAATCTAGAAAACGCCCCTCACAAAGGTTTATTGCATAAAATTAAAATTCTTGAAATTAGTGTTTGAAAGTTTTCCCCGCCAGAGTAGTGGTGCAAATCAAAATATGAAACATGCGTGGTGCGGAGTAGTGGCACTAATAAAAATATGAAACATGCGCAGTGCCCTTCGCATGTATTGTTGTTTCATGGTTGATTCGCCTGATTAAAAAGTGTTTGCACAGAAAAAGAAAACCACAACATAGATAGTGCTTCAAGACACTAAGATGTAAGTGTTCAGTCACAAAGTACAAGCGCATGAGTAAAGATAACTAAATCTTTTTTCATCACATCTACACAAGGCTATATTTGGGTCGTGACTCGCGAGAAAGAACGTATTCACAAGTTCGTGCAAAGCCAACTTGACGCTCGAAATGTCGGAACAGACGATTTGGAAAGTGCAAGGAATAGCTAGATTATACTCGTTCAGTAATATATTATTCATAAAGAACAGAAAAGTGACGTCTTTACTTTCATCATTGCCCCAGGAAAGTAATAAAAGTATAGTTACATGTTACATTTTTAAAAGTAACTCGTTACAGTTACAAGTTATCAAAAAGTAACAAAGTTACAGTAACGCGTTACTAGTAACGTGTTACTACCCAAGACTGATACTTTGTTCGTGCTTTTTCTGTCTATATTTATATACCGTGAATTATTATGCTTTCTGGGCCCTGAGGCTATTGAAATAAGTAACAAAAGCTATTGGCTAAAATGAGCATTTTTAATGAGAAGCCATATTGGATGTCATTGGGCACTAACATCCTATCTTTGCTGGCAGCAAGGGCTTTCCCAATCACTTTCTGTTTTGTCGTGCAGGGCCGTCGGCCGTGGAATTACACCTCCGACGTGTGTTGAGCCTCGAAGTGCATCCCCAAAGGAAAACAACTCTGGATCTGCACAAAGGTAAGCGGGCTCTCTGTGCAAAGCGGGACTTGTGTTCTGTGCACCTTACCTAAAGCTGGCACAATTGAGAGTTGCACCACAACCGACCTGTTTCTCTTGGAAAGGACTTGCGGTGTTTGACTTTTTGTTGTTACGAAGACAATGCAGTTTTCTTTGGTATCATCAAAGAAATTCCTGAATCAAATATTATGACGTAATCCCATCGAAATCTGTATTAAAATGCCTAACAATCCTTTTAAATCTACGCTGTGTGACGCAGTTAACACGAACATGCCTAGGCATGCTCATAAAACAGGGATGTACAGTGAGGGCGCACCGTTACCCTGCTTCCAAAACGCACATCAGCTGTGCCATACTGCTCTAAAATACAGACCTTTTTCTGTTAGAACCAAATTTCGAAAAATGAGTTCGACAAATATTCATACTATATTGAAACTGAAAGCACCAAGCTTTTGTTATAAGTTAATCCCATTAATCCTGGCATATAGTAAGTCCGCTTTGTCTTGGTGATGTTTTGTTTACAAACTTCGGCTATGTGCCCGAACAACACTTGCACAAGCTGCGGTAGAGCGGACACCGTCGAATGCAGACCAGGGCTGTAAAAATTAGTTCAGAAATGTACCAAAGATACAGTTACTCATGCAAAAAGTACCTAGGGTACGGTTCTAGATACTCATTTTAGAATATACCTAAGTACAGACACAGTTACTTAAGAGATACTATTTTCATGAAAACATAGTGAATGGTACAAAGACTTTGACCAACATAAATGTGCTGAACGTTAATGCGTAACCCTCTTAAAAAACAAATTAAAGTTTTGTGGATAGAAAAAAAATTTTGTTGACTTTAACCCCCTTAAAGTCAACAAAATTTTTTTAACTGGTTAAAGGTTGAACTTCTTAACTACTCTAGTGTTCGGGATGAAATTTGCAGGGGAGATTTAACTTCAGATGTAGGCGTACTGTGCAAACTTTCAGCTCTCTAGAACAACTTTACATATCTGCATAAGAAGATGTGTCAGTCTTGTTAAGAAATCTATGATATGCAAATGAAGCTATTAAAGGGGCCCTGCAATCATATTTAAGCGTCTACCTTTTATGCGGTTTCCACGTCTCTTGGGGTTCGGGCAAGCCAGCGAACACGGAAAGAGTAGCTAAATATCAGTGCGCCATATTTTAACCGGACGACACGGAAACCTCCTCCTCCGACGAGGGCGACCCGCGGTACCGAAAGCGCACAAAATGTGACGTCTTTGGTCCTGGGCTTACTACTGGTCAGAGCCACTAAAAACTTCTTTTTGGTCGAAATACAAAATATAAGTGGCGCGAACCGTTTCAATTATTTATAAAAGTAGTTTTTGTTCACTATTATAGATGAAAAAAAAGAAAGAAATTCAGTTTATAAAGTACGGAAACAAGAAATGACCCGTCAACATACCCGCCGCCGAGCAGTGGAAAAGGCGGCGCATACTAGAAAGGAGTAGTGGGATAAGGCGCCGACACGGGAAAATCTTGGATGTACGCGGCGGCGCTGCAGTCGTATGGACAGGAGGATCCAACCGGCTCCGAGCGTTCCGAAGGCCTTCGGCGAGAGGCTTTGTCTTGCGGTTTGGCCGTTTCGCGGTATGGCAGCGCGAAGTGGCTCCCATTCTGAACTGATCTTTACCCTGTGTATGCTGTCGTTTGTGGCCAATGAAGTGTCATGCCGAATTAGTGTTTAATCGCGCGGCAAACGCAATAAAAACCGCTTTGACTGCCCGTTGCATACAGCCTATCTAGAACATGCTTTAGTGGCGTTCTCTGGCGCCGTCGACACGGAGTGCGGCGGCCGTGAGCGCTCGATGAGCCCACTATTCACGGCCACTCAAGCCAGGACCTACGACGTCATGAAGGAGGTTATTTTTTGCTTGTTTTTGTAATTCTTAATTGCCTATAACTTTTAAAATAAAGCGAATTTCGCGAAAAGAAAAGTTTCACTAAGTTACTACGTTCAGTGCGCTCAGGTTCGGTGCAAATTAAAAAACGGTAAAAAGTCCTTGCAGGGCCCTTTTAAGCATCATTTTAACTGCTTGAATATAAAGTGAGGGGTGTGGGACTTCGGGCTATCTAGTTTTTATAACCCAAATGTAAATATTTCTGGAAGAGTGATTACCTCAAAATATAAGATACATATCTGTCCTATGTCAATTTTAGAAAACATAGTTCTTAGTAAACAGGATAACTGGGCGAGTTGGTATGCGCTCGTCCTGTCCAGTTTCTTCCTCTGTCCTTCCAAAAATTCGCGCTGTTACATAGTTCTTTTCTCAATCAGGACTTTAACTTGAGAAACAAAATAAAGTAGATAGCCCGATTCTCCAGTAAATTTCAGTTCAGAAACATCTTGATTGTGGTATCAGAAAAATTTTACCTTCGAACAAAAGATTCTTTTGTATGAAATTTGCAGCAAAAAGTGTAACTGAGAATAATGCATTCAAACATTGAACCCTTTTACTTTGTTACTGCCTCATAATGTGTTGAAAATATTTGATATCAATGTAACTATTTGGTGCATGGTTATGAAATTTAGTGTAAGGGTGTAAATTAGTTTCTAAAACCGAAAACCTCAAAATTGAAAAATTAATTTTTTCAAAAAATTTGGAAACTTAGGTCCATGTCCCCCTTACGGTTATGAAACATAAATGCGTGATTGATCATGAAATTAACCAAAATCAAGACTAGTATGAAAGAGTTGTGAAATGTGCAAATATACTTACGATATATATATATATATATATATATATATATATATATATATATATATATATATATATATATATATATATAGGTAAAGTAAGGTAAATATAAAAACAATGGACCGGGAAAAGTTAATAAGTCAAAGATGCATACTGTCGGAGTTACTAATTCGAAGTTTATTACGACGTTTCGAGCGGGGACCTATGAAGAGCGGTCCCCGCTCGAAACGTCGTAATAAACTTCGAATTAGTAACTCCGACAGTATGCATCTTTGACTATATATATATATATATATATATACGTACATACATACATACAGGGCCGTAACCAGGGGGGGGGGGGGTTAGGGGGTTCTGACCCCCCCCCCCCCCCCGAAATTTCTTTCTGGGTACGGCCCTGGTCGGTGCACTGGCAGCGGCAGCCGATTTTAATCTCCACCTCTGCGCACGCGCAGTGGTGCCGGTCGGCTACCAGGTACCAAACCGGGACCGGATCTCCGGTTTGCTGTAACTCTCCATTATATGCCACCGATGCACATGATTCATAGGCGAAAACAAGACAACAGACACTTTCAAAATGGCCGCCGTTGTCCCCGAAAAACCCCCCCGAAATCTTTTTCTGGGTACGGCCCTGTATATATATATACATGCATACATACATACATTTATAAATAAAAAAATAAATAAAGAGAGAAAGAGAACATGGTCATTTAACCCCTTAACCGTTTTGGACGAGCCTACATCATCAACATGGAGCCGTCCCCAAACCGATTGAGGATGAGTATAGCTCATCTGCTTTCCCCGGTTCACGCACTCAACCGTTCTGGACAAACCAAGCTCGCTCATGGCTTAGTTTGAGGCTCTGTTTTTTTTTTTTTTTAATTTTGCTTCCATTTTGTTTGTTACTAGAAACTTGAGTTGAAGGCAACAAATGTGACTTCGAAGACAACAATTAAGCAGTTGAGGATGATAAATTCCCAAAAATTAAAAAAAGGTTAAGGGGTTAAAAGTTGAAGTCACAGTTGGAGGAGCTGAAAGTACCACAGTAACAAAAACGGGAAAAGCAGAAAGCACGGTGTATTTGGGAAACATCATCACCCAACATGCCCAGCAACATTGATGCATTCCATGTCAAACCAGTTTAGCAAAAATAGACAAATTTTTAAAAATCATAAAAGATTTTGTTTTTGCTAATACTATAAAAGATCTCCATGTCCAAATGTATCATCCTAAGTATAAGAAAATATTCGGAATAAGGCCTCTTTCTTTACTACGGGGATACACAAACACAAGTTCGTAACAACTTCATTGGCGCGTCAGCGCCAGAAATAATTAAAAAAACCGCAGTCACTCATGGGCTTTTGGCAGCATGTTATCTTTTCTTATTTCGCTGCTCTATTCGCCTTTAGAACCACTACCTCCTCAAAGTGTTTGTCTGACATCTTCAATAGCAGCTTAATAGCGATTGTCCTTTCCATGCTAAAACGCACTGCACTACCGCACTGTTCGGAAGTCCTGTGTTGAATTTTAAGAACACGCTTTCTATCAGTGGCATGTGCTTGAAACATTCCAAATTTCTTGTCGGAGCAAGTTCAGTGTGTTGTATAAACCGTTGCTCCCATAAAGCACTTGAAGACGACTTCAAAATTATAAAAATGCTCATGAATGTCACAACTTTGCTCACCTGCTGAGGCTACTCAAAGCTTACATTAGTTCCATTCCCAAGGCTCGTATGAGTTCATATTTAAGATAGTCCCATGCGCGCTTGAATTTCGTTTCACTGTTTTTCCAGGTGACCTTAAATTTTGGATGACAGACGATAGCAATTATCAAATTCCTTCCTTCTCTCATTCCTAAGAACCCTCTATTTCCAAGTGAAGAAAAACATTTAGTTACTTCTTTTCGGTAGCACCTACAATAAAGTGTGTAGTCGACGATCACAAGCCTTTCATGTTTTCAAAATAATTGTATTAATTGTGGGGCCGTGGCAAGCAAATGAGACCACCTCAATTTATCTTTATGATCGTTCTCTGACTGAATGTGCCCTTCGGCTTCACCCTAGAGTCAATACTTTCCAGTTCTTACTTTCTATATATGGCTAAAGCAGACGAAAAGTACCTGCAAAAAGTAATTTCACAAAGTTACAAGTTACTGGAAAATGTACCTTAGATACAGATACAGAGAAATAAAGTATAGACTAACACGCGGGCTTGACGTCGCAGAGCTGCGGCGACGCTGCGATCATGCCAGAGCCGGGTGGTGTGGGCAGAAGGGCGCACGTTTCGCATGGGCGTCATAGCATTTCAGCGTGCCGCAAAGCTATGTTGCCATTAATTGCACCGAAAGCTACAGCAAAAGTAGCGGAGTGAGGTTCCTAGAAGTTCTCGGCAGACTCTGAAAGGCACAGAAGGTGGATAATATTCGTGAATTGAAAAGAATGGTCACCTCGCACGAACAACTGTTTGTGCGGCAAGCACTTTCTTGAAGGCAAGTGCGACTTCCATATCAATCTCCATCCCGAGCCTTGCTGATGTGCAGAAAAACCGTTGTCAATCGAGACCACCCGGATTATGTTCTCCCATGTTCATGCACAAAGCACTGGCCAAGCGCTTGTCGGAGGCTCGCTACGCCCATGCTACCAAGCACAAGGAAATCGGCAACAGAATGCCAGTATTGTAGGCGTTACTGAAAAGAAGCAACGAAATACGTTACTTGTTACTTGCAAATAAAAAGTATGCATTACCGAGCTGCGTTACCTAGAAATAACAGGAACGCGTTACCGCTACCGATAAAAAGTGAGACACGTTACTTCTGTGTCACTTTTTAAATTAGGATTTAACACGTTTTAGTGTTTTGACGATACAGGTATGCATAACATCATATATCAACCATTTTGTTTTTAGCCCGAGACTGAGGCAGGAAAAGAGGAAAGTTTCAAAGTAGAAGAAAAATGAACAGTCGAGGACACGTCTCTAACACAGCTAAAGACAAGTTTATTTGGTCACCTTCTTATATACAGTCCACGAACTTCACCACAGAACCTTCCCGATCTCGAAAGCCAAAAGATAACAAAGGTCTCACATCTTTCCACCACAATTGTCAAACGACCTTGACGTTTTCCACAAAGCAACAACAATGGCTCCCCTCACCCGGAAGACACTTGACTGAATCCTTCGCGTACGGAGTACACTCTCCCCCTCTACTCTCCGACCCTAGAAGTCCAATAGAGTCTAATAGTCTAATAGACCAATTGTGGTGGAAAGATGTGAGACCTTTGTTATCTTTTGGCTTTCGAGATCGGGAAGGTTCTGTGGTGAAGTTCGTGGAGTGTATATAAGAAGGTGACCAAATAAACTTGTCTTTAGCTGTGTTAGAGACGTGTCCTCGACTGTTCATTTTTCTTCTACTTTGAAACTTTCCTCTTTTCCTGCCTCAGTCTCGGGCTAAGAACAAAATGGTTAACATCCACCAGCTCGCCTGCGCAATCACTACATTATCATTGATCATATATCAAGAAACATTATGTTTATGCAGAAACTGAACATAATTACCTAAATACTCACAAGAAAAAACAAAACAAAAACAAAACGCAGAAAACTCGGAAATTCAAGTGGCTTGACGCTTAAAAACACAGAAAAAATTGAAGTGTAATTTCTTTAAGATTTGGGAAGTAGTTAACAGGTAACGTAACTACATTACCTGAAATAGTAACATATGTTACCCGTTACTGCGTCGAAAAAGTAACGAGTAGGTTAATACGTTCATGAAAAAAGTAACACATTCCTGGTAACGCCGTTACTTGTAACGTGTTACTGCCAAGACTGCAGTAAGGTGTTTCTGCTTGTCATGCCTTGTGGTCATGAGGGTAGGAAAAATATCATACCTTCACTTGAGGACGCTGTGTGTATTTAATCATTTAATAAATGCACTTCCGCTGACCCACAGTCTGCTGATACCACCGGCAGTGCAGAAAACGACTCGGAAGTAATCGTAGGCCTCGAGAGACTTGTACGCCTGCACCGTGTCGGCCGTGAACTGGCTTGGCGAAAAAAAACTAATTAAAAAACGACGTGACCCGTCGATTTCGGTGGCAACAACTTCGCGTCGGAAGTCCATCAGGCCTTGTTTGCGGCGTACAGATCCTCGAAAGCAACGCCGCCCACGCACAGTATGTCTCGATACCGCTGCCATTCAGGCTCGGTTAGCGAGCTTAAATAATCGGGCATAACGTATGGCATACATTTTCAGGAAATACGACGCACAAATGAAGCTAGAAGTGTCTCTTCAACGTCAACAACGAGCGCACGCCACACAACGCAATGGCGAAAACACATAGCTTCCATGCATGCGCGGCCTTCCGGACGTTTTGGTAAACAGAGCCGTTCCGCGTGTCGGTCTGTTCCTTTGAAGATATATTTGAAGAATTTGAAGATAATCCCGAAAAAGTGGGGGATGGGCGCTTGTTAGGTAATCAGTCTCACATATATTTGTATTGTGCATATTTTTTTAGATGTTACAAAATTTGGGGGTGGGCACTTCCGTAAAATGGGTGGACGCTCGGTATTTTATGGTATGTTTGTACGTTGAAGGTGAACATTTGAGAGAAGTCTCTCTGGTTGGGGAGCAAAAATAATAATAAATAATATATACACCAACCAAATCCTTGTATAAAGGCAAAACGCCTTCGCCACCCAACCGATGCAAAACGATAGACACTGCCGTAGAAGAAGAAGAAAACAGATTACTGCTCCTCAACGGCCATAGCCGCAGTCAACCCCTGAAGAAGAGACCGAGCTGGTCTCGAAACGTAGGGTTTTGCCTTTATACAAGGATTTGGTTGGTGTATATATTATTTATTATTACGTTTGTACATTGGTTACAACAAAAGTACCTTGTTACCAGTTTGCAGTTAGTTGTACCTACAGTTGGTGACAGGCTAAAAATTCAGGAGGCATTCTTCCCACCTCTTTTCTTTTCAGCAAAACGAACACTGGAGAGGAGGCGATCTCCTATCCAGCGTTCGCCCTGCTAAACTGGAAAGGGGTGGAAGGAGTTTCCCCTGAACTCTTAACCTGTCACTGACAATAAGTCCTTTTTAACCCCGATGCAGACTTTGCTGCGGTGCAGGGAATGCTTTCTCCATGCTTGTTTACGCAATAGTTTGGATGTCTGTTTGCATCACGTGGGTGTCTAATGTCTCTGACAATGTGAAACCAATGCTGCCAAACCAGGAAAGGTTTCGATTTTGGTTTGTGCTCGTGTCTAAAGCAAGATAGCACAAAAAATATTAAAGCATAGTCCACTTACCAGTTGTTAACTGTCGAACAGATTGTCCACTCTCTCTTGCGCATTGCTGCTGAACACTACTGCCGCGAGTGCTTCAGTCGCGCAGGCTATACTAGTTCGTTGTAGGTTAAGAAACCAGGTCAAGTTCCTTTTGCAAAGCCCTCCTCCACTTCAGCAGAGCAAACGGTGGAGAGGAGGCAAGGAGGGACTCACCTCCTCTCAGCATTTGCTTTGCTAAAGAGGAAAGAGTGGAGGGTTTTGTGGGAGAAGTCTGTCTCGGTTTCTTAACCTACAACAGACCATAGTTTGGTCGTTTGGTTGAGTGCTGCAAGTTCCCCCGTTCCTTTCTTCGCATGCTCAGCAACTGCGAGGCGGAGCCTGCCATTTCACCAACGGAGGACCCACTCAAAGACGAGGTGGCCGATCGTCTCTGTGCCCTTTTCTGGCCCGAGGTAACCGGGCAGCACCGCTCGCCCCTGCAGCACTTGCACTGCTCGAAGCCCCGGGCACGCACTGCACTTGATGCACACTCTGCGGTTGAACTGCGGCACCCGTGACATCTCCACGACCGGTGGGTCTGCTGCACTGATTGTCTGCTCACCCCTTAAAAGGAAGCTAAAGAGGTCCTTGGATTGAGCGAACTGTAGAAGTTGTAATGTAGATACCTTAAAAATTTAGGGTCTTAAGTTTTATTTTAATCTTATAAGTAGGAGCGTCGCAATAGCCAACTAATATTTCGAAGTATACCCACCCGTTGCAGCGTGCCGATGGTAGGAAGGCGCGAGAGCAGAGAGAAAAACTAGCAAAAGTGACGTCATCTGCGGGGTGAGATGAGCCTTGCTCGCCATTTGGGATTACGACTGCTTTCAGCTAAAGCATTGTCCCCGAATTACAAGGTATAGTTGTTTTTTTTCTGATATGGTGCGTATTATTATAAATATCACAACTGAAAGTTTGGTTTCGGGTGTCTACGGCAAAACCAAAACTATCTGTTAGAGGGATGGCCACACTGATCATCAGCCGTGCGACCACGACGTGATGTTACCAAGATGCTGCGGTACGCGGTACAACCAATCAACCCCAGCTCCACTGTGACGTGATGTCACAGGGGTGCTACGCCAGCGTTCCTTGACTAAAAGCTAACTTGCTTGCCACCCGCTAAAGAGCAGCTTGTCGAACCTTTAAACTCGATTTTAGTGGATTACATGGCTTCACTTTGAAGGAAGTGAAGCCATGTACTTACAAATATTCTGAGCATTTCTCTCTGCTTTCTTATCTACAATCATAAAGACAACCTAACATTAACTGATTTCTCCGACCAACGACCTGTGGTCATTTGACGTGGATTACCACCGGAACTTCCTTGCCCTGATGGGAATTATCTGCAGCAAACAATGTTGTCAACAAGAACTGTGGAGATTACCATGGTAACAAGGTTCGCAACACTGGTTCATTGGCAATGGCTATCTTGAAGAGTGTCACTACCCTAAGCAAAGTGCACACAAAGGTACCCTTGGATACATATCCCAGGCACTGTAATTTAGATGCCAGATTAGCGTGCCCACCTCATGGTCGTCTTTTGGGAGTGTGCTGCCCCCAGGCAGCAGAGTGAAGTTCTTAAAGGGACACTGACACCCTCCAAAAATGTTTTTTTTTTTCATTTTTTGCCAGGCGATTCAATAAGGTGTCAGAAGACTGCCTAATTAATATTTTGCTACAGAGTCACATATATTTTTAATAAAGCCATAAAACGCAACTGCTCAAAACCACAACCTGCGCACGGAGGTCGGAGAAATATAGAGGAGGAGGGAGTGCCGGAAGTCATGTGGCTGCACCCGACCGTATGCTTTTTATTTTTTTCCTTTCGTTTTTTTTTGTTTTTTTTTTGCCGTGGGCAGCAAAAGATTTGCGTTGCGGGAACTATTTGCCCTGCGCTTGCTTTGCTGTTATGTTTGTTCCGCTCGCTGTTCTGCACTTCAGGATGAGTTGTTTTGTACATTGAAGAATCGGAAAGGGGTAGCGAGTGTCCATGGTAAATGCCCGTGGTTGGCATCCGAAAAGAATGCCCCCAAGGTGTTGCGTGAAGAGCTGCCTCATAGGCTCCGCATCCCAAAGTGGTATTGTGCAGCAGAGTCTGCACAAGTATCTGAAAGATCAACAAGATCTGGACCAATGGCTGGTTGCAATTCCTGCAGAGCAGCTACAGGCACCTCGGAAAGCAGACACTACCCGATTTATATGCTCCTTACATTATGTGGAAAGTGACTACATTGAGTTAGCAGGTGTCAAAAAGGGAATCCTATACCATTTCGTTCGGCGACGTTTCGTCCACAACATTTTTTTTCCAGTGATAATTGTAAAAAAATAAATGTGTAAATATCCTAAAATGTTTGACAAAGAAACAAACAAAAAACAGTACACCCACACTGGATCGAACCAGGGTTCGCTGCGCGTGAAGTGGACACCTTTGAGCTACCGGGGGAACTCTTTGGTTCGTAGTAATGCAGCCCGTCGACTGTAAGCCGGAAAGTTTGCTGCAGATTTTCCTCCAGCAAAGGCACTCCCTTAGCTCGAAGTCGGGCAGCACCACGCAATGGCCATATTCGCACCTAGTAAAGAGATTCTACGCGTGCATATTCAAATCAAAGTACGCACTTCGTGCTTGGCGTTTGTGCAAGCAATGTTTTCAGCCACGAGAAGAGACGACGGCTTGGCGACAGCTTCGTGCAAATTCCCTTGGTGGTTGGGCGTGTTGTACGAAATGAATCCCAATTCTCTTGATCGGTCCAAAATTTCTCTTTTGAAGGAAGACAGATTCACTGGTACCGCGAACGTAGGGTGACCACCTTCCTGCTAGCGAAATGCGGGGCATGCTGACCCCGGGAAGGGGGTGGGGGGACGGTAATATACTTGGACTGTGGCAACTGCACAAATTAACTTAGTGCGCAGTCGAGCTTGGAGAAGTTTACCATGATGCTTTTTAACTTGAGACTGGGGTAGAAGCAGGAAGCATATTTTTCCCTCCTTGTGCCCCAGCCTCAGTTTTTTTTTTTTTACCTGAGACTGGGGCATAAGAAGGGAAAATAGAATCATAGAAAAAATAAATATTCTAGGAAATTTATCAACAGACACCACGAAATGTGGCTCTGCTAGCACATTTAACATCCTGTCTTGTCTCAAGGCATATTCTACAGCTGCAAATTGTATTGCGGCAATTACGCTCACATTATTTTCACTCTCAGTGATACATTTTGAGTTTTAATGGCCCATATGTTAACAAATGTGCCTATGTTGAAAACATAAAATCGACTGCAGTAGAGCTCAATGCATCAGAAGGAAAAAAGAAACAGTAAATATTTTATGGCTTCTTGTTTCCTGTTGATTCTTATTTTTACCAACATGCTCCAACAGAAATTTCGAGTCTTGTTGTTTTTGGCCGCTGTTATTTGCAGTCGTTTAGCTTGTTTAACCATCTTTACAAAAAAAAAAAAAAAATTGACAGCAACTTTTTTGCATTGACCTAGCACGATTTGAAAATAATTACAATAATTTATTTTCAACTTTTGGCGAGCAATTTTTTCTGGCAATATGTTGCCACCAAGGGAAGAGAGGCACAACGGCTCATGCGCGTCAGTTCTAATGCGTAAATGACGGTCGCTTCCCGCAATGCTTGGATTGAAAATGCTGTACCATAGCGATTCACACGATTGCCAGCGACCTCCACACTTCCCCGTGCCCCGTTGTTCAGCAGCGCCATGAGTTGCATAGTGAAGTTTACAGCAGTGTGAAATGCGGGACATTTTCAAGATTTTGGTATTTCTTGCGGGACGCGGGACATGATCACTCAATACGGGACAGTCCCGCGAGTCGCAGGACGGGTGGTCACCCTACGCGAACGACAGTTCTGAAGTAGAGGTCTCACGGCCGTCGCAGTGAACCCACAGAATGCTTCCGGTTCTTTGTGCAACTTTTTACAGCGGAGCTGTTAAGGGCTAGTTTCCCCATTATCGTGTCCGCGTTATCGTGTCCGCGTTTCCCCATTATCGTGTCCGGACAGCTACCGCTATCTATGAGCAACAACAGCAACCAGACAACCGGCTTGCCAGTTGTCTGGTTGCTGCTGTCACTCATAGATGGCGGCAACCTTTTCAGCCTTTCCACTCTGGTTTTCACCAAAGATGAAAGGCTGAATTTCTCTAGGCGTCATCCTAGAAGTCGTCCTCGAGGTCGTCCTAAAAGTCATCCTTGAGGTTGTCCTAAACGTCGTCCATGAGGTTGTCCCTGACGTCCTTGAGGTTGTCCTAGACTCAGTCCAAGAGGTTGTCCTCGAGGTCGTCCTAGACGTCATCCTCAAGGTCATCCTAGAAGTTGTCCTTGAGGTTGTCCTAGGCGTCGTCCTCGAGGTTGTTCTTGAGGTGGTCCTAGACGTCTTCCTTAAAGTCATCCTAGACGTCGTCCTTGAGTTCCTCCTAGACGTCGTCCCTGACGTCGTCCTTGGCGTCGTCCTCGAGGTCGTCCTAGAAGTTGCCCTTGAGGTCGTCCTAGACGTCATCCTTGAGGTCGTCCTCGATGTTGTCCCCTAGGCGTCGTCCTTAAGGTCATCCAACAAGTCGTCCTTGAGGTCATCCTAGACGTCGTCTTCTAGGCATTGTCCTAGACGTCGTAAAGATAACAGCTTCGCTGGTCCTCCATCTTCACATAAAGTTGAAGGGCTCTACATTTTTTTTCAATCAATGTATTCGCTGCTTTTTAGAAGCCACAAAAAAGGGGTTTCATGTTTTTTTTTCTATTTTTAATATTAAGTATGTGCCTTCAATGACCCACGACTTTGATTAAATTTGGTGGTCGTGTCTAAACCTTAGAGAACGGCCCGGGACCACGGAGAAGAAAGTGAGCACGACTCAAACCGGCTAGTTTTCGGGCAGAAAGAAACCAAATTTTAAGCCACAAATTCTGTTCTGGGTAGTTGGGCTCTCATATGTTGTGTACAACTAAAAACCTCTACGAGTATAAATACTTTGTCAGTGTCCCTTTAAGACGCTGCACGTGACATTACTGAACATTGCGCACATTCCGTGGGACATGGCTGTGTCATGTTGCATGAGGTAATGTTGTTACTTACTGCGTGCAGTGACATTAATGGACGACCTTGCACTCCCGTTGCAGTGTGTACTGCAGCCGTTATTAGAGCAAAAAGTCTTCATTTATGGCTTCCCTATCGTCTCGGTTTCAGGTGGAACTCTGGCTCAGGCTGTGTAAGGAACGACCTGTAAGCAAGCACTCAGGTGTGTGGCACCAGTTTCAGCCATTCCACCTGTCCTTTCGTGGTGAAACACTGGTTGTTCTGAGTAAGCTTGCCAGCTCAAATACATGAGCCCTGTTAACACTCAAGGGAAAAAAAGAAGAAAAGGTGGCTTGTTTGCAGTGTTATAAAAAGTGAGAAGGGATTCCAGTGACTTAACTGAGACGGCAAAAGAGATTCCTCAGTGGTTCGAAATAGAAATTGGAGTCTCGATTAAAGGGACCATGAAATGATTTTGAAATCGAGTTTCATCCACCGCACGTCGTAAAAGGTGTGAAAAGAAACACAAAAACACAAAAATAGGGAGCCCAAAAAAATTATTTGCTATAGAACTTTTAAAAGAAAACTGGACTCTTTTGCGCCTTCCTTCCTTCGCCTGTTCACTACGATGCATACGCAGAATCGGTGCACGTCAGCCGAATCCACATCGCCTATTGGGTAAGAGCCTACCTCACCAGCACCGCGATCGTAAACAATAAATAGCCGGCGAATGTTTCCTAAAAGTTTTGTTAAATAATATTCAGATCCACATTTTGTAGCATAATTAGAGATGTGTGGCGAAAATTGCCAAATTTGATAATGCTGAGAGCCAAGCGCCATCTATCGTGTGGTAAACGAAGCAACTACTGCGCGTGCGCAGTAGGGCAGGGCCGCCAGTTACTTGGGTGACGGCGACCGACGAACATTTATTTTCTTTGTTTTCCTTCCTCTCAAAACTCTGACTGACTGAACGTTTATTTTTCTACGTGTTCTTCCCGCGCGTGCCGACTTCAAGCAGCAAGAAAACAGTACTTAAAACAGACCACGACGAACAAGAACGCTGGATTCACCGACTCCGACGAAGCGTATAGGCCTAGCAGGCATTCCGACTCGGCGCTGCGTTGCTTCGTCGCAAGACCGTCTGCCTACGACCGGCTGGCGTGCTAAATGGAATATGCCCGCGCGACCCTTGTGGACCCTTCCCGTATTATAGTTTGATCACTGACCTCAATTCTAGATTAAGAGGTGAGGAGGTCAATCTCTTCCCCTTGTTTTCCGAGGCAGTGTTGACGAACACTCGTCGAAAAGGGACTCTCGTCGATTCTATCTTCTTGTTTTGTGTGATATAGAGCTGAAATAAACGCCGTATGGATTGCCTTCGTAACACGGTATGTACACTTTGTTATTGGTATGCCATTTTTATTCTGAGAGACTGCACGTCACTGTCGACCCCGGTCCAACCTTTCTTTGCCGAGTGTCGCGTCAGTATCGAGTTGCAATCGTAAAAGAACGGTCCCGAAGAGCTTACCAACAGCGCGAATACAAGACTTCCATCAAGCGCGCGCGTCCGCTCCGAGTGTAAGCAGGTATTTACGTGGCTCTTGCTGACACTCGTAGTTCAAACGTATCTTTTTTAACGTCGCCTCGCTCCTGCATCTCCGAGGCCGCGAAAAACGCCATCTACGTCGCTTTGCAAACGACTGACACGGGCCGGCCCTTCTGCCAACAATGACGGGGTGGTGACAAGACTCGCTGCACTTCCCAACAGGCATACCGGCGTATGGGACTAGTCCCATGCTGTCGCTGTAGCGCAACATATCTCATTGAATTTCGCTCAGCTGCGATGCGGCGATGAGAGGCGCCGATTCAGGAAATACGTCGGTGACATCAGCGCAGTAAAACCAACCGGCGGACTCTTCCTATACCTCCCATTGGGACTCCAATTGCAGACGGCAGCGCCAAATCTCCCCTAACGGGCGTTGGGTTTCTCCAAAAGAAATAAGAAATAGACAAAACAATACGCGCACCGTCGTCATGGCAACCGCTTGGTTATGGGAGAGGGTGAGAGAAGTGTGTTCCCTCCTCTCCCTCTCTCTCACCCTCGGCGACAAAAAGATGCGAGTTCGTTCGGAGTTCGGAGCAGCCTCCGAACTCCGAACGAATTTGCATCTTATTGTCGCTGATGTTGAGAGAAGAGGGAACTGCTCCCATTGCCGCCGTCTCGTTCTTCTACAATACAATGTAATCTTTTTTAGAACAAAAAAAAGTGTTTACCTTTTTTTGCGAATGTCCGACGCTTCCGAAACAATTGCACTTGACTTTGCCTCGCTCGATTGAGATCGGCTTAGCAACAGTGCATGTTCAGTGACAGCCAGTTCTCATAAAATCGTGAATGAATGAATGCAAAGCACGCCCAGCCGCTGCTGTTTAGCGGCTTAAGATGGGCGCACATCGCCAGTCTGAGCACAAGTCCAAACTTCTTTTGCAAGTTCTCTTTTTATTAGGCACGCTCGTTATACAAAGAAGAAGAAGAAAAAAAAAAAACGTTCATTGCACAGCACAACAAAGTAACAAAATCTACACGAAACTACTATTTAAGTATTCACAGACCTGCAATCACACATTTAACTCTGCGGTAGTTAGCGACAGTGATTCGATCGCCGGGGTTTCTCGCAGGTTCCTTCTGCAGCGAGCTGCTCCACGCACGAGCTACCGAGCTGCGGTGCTCTAACACCGATACCGCCCACACCGCCCATTTTAAGATACATGCGCTGTCCCTTGTGACCTTTTACAATAACTCTTCCATAAAGAAACATGCACCAGCAAGTTTTCGGCAATCCGAAACTGTATAACCAAAAGTATAGCAGCCCGTCTTTACCTTTCGTCACTCGATCGGCAACCCAAAGAACTTGGCAGAGCTGTTGCCACTGGAATTAGAGCACCACTGAGTCGAGCAATGAACAAGGTTTCGTTTGCTCTGTGTACTGGTAGCAGAAATAGACCGATAACCAATAGGTCAACGCTACTGCCCGCTGCCGCAAACGAAAACCAGGCGAAAACCACCACCGCACCGCTGGCACAGGCGCCGCCGAGCAGCCGACGCATCCGCGAGCGCGGCAGCCGACGCGCAACTGTTCTCAACGGTCAAAATACAAAAAACAACCGGCCAATGAGAGCAAAGTATGAGGGCGAAACTTTAGCTAACCAAGATATTTGCTTCATCTTACCAGGATAATTTTTGAAATTTGTAAGCAGCAACAATAATATGTATCTCATCCTATTAAATAAACTTTCCGGCGTAAACCGGAAAGACTTAATAGAATACCAACGGATAAGAGATGGCGCTGAAATAGCAAACCGGAAGACGCTCGAAGTGTCCGCCGGTTGGTAAAACCTACCGGCGCACCCCAACTCGTTGCCGCTACTGCCGAGAGAACTTCCGGTTCCGGAAACGGTCTACGTCACGGCTTCTTTTGCGGTCAGTTGGAGAGAATGAAAAAGTCGATATTTCAATAATTTTTTGTGTAAAAGTTAATAAACCGAGACGAAAACGGATGCCTGTTCGGCATTCAGTGAACATTGACGGTTTAATGTAAAAGTTATCTGGAAAAAGTAAAAAGGTCATTTCATGGTCCCTTTAAGATGGCTGCAAGCGTGCTTGTCGAGATGTGCAGCACTGAGAAACACTAACCAAACACCTAGGGTTTGAATGACAGAACCCTGGTGGCAACCTTCTTTGGGGGGTGGGGATCCAACAGCTTTGCCACGTCATAACTCTCCTAAATGTAGTGAAGTAGCTGGAGGGTGTATCTAAATATGTTTTTTCATTGCACTTGCTTCCTTCATTGGGTTTATCGGAAGTTGAAAGAGCAAAACTTTGTACAAACAAATTGTGTCGAGTCTGCACGAGGAAACTTTGGGAGGTTTTTCATTTGTTAGTGCATTATAGTACTTTGAAATACACTCAAACTGTTTTTTTTTTTTTTACATTATCTAACTATCCCTTTTGCTTAACCTGACATTCTGTAAGTTTTTATGTATTTCCAGTGTTTTGATATTGGTACTTTGCATTGCGATACATATACAGGGCGTTTTTTTTTAAGCTTTACAGATTTGTTTAAAAAAAGCTGTGAAAGGTACACTAATGCGGTTTGTGCAGGTGAGTTATACAACCAGGGGGACAGTGTATAAGGGGGTAATCATAATGATCAGTTGGCTGATTATGTAAAATTTATTAACTTTTTAATTAGTGAAAATAGGTATATGGTTCCAATTAGAAACTTGCTGAGCTTCATCGAAAACCAACTAATCAATTTATTTAGAAGGATATAACGCAGGGGCAGCATTTTTATGGCATTTCATAAAAATACTCTATTTGGACGCGTTTCTAGGTTTCGGCTTCTTATCGAAGCGCATCTCTGTGCCCGCGGTCCTGCTTCCCAGTGGCTGAGACGCGCAACACATGTGCATCCTACTTCCCTCCATCCTACGAGAGAGGCGAGGGGGTGGCTTTGCGCCGCAACCACCAGACAGCAGAATCGTGGGCGTAAAGATGCGCTCCTATAAAAAACCGAAACCTAGAAATGTGTCCAAATTGAGGTTTTTTTTGAACGCCGTAAAATGCTGCCCATCTGATGTCTTCCTTAAAAGAGTTTTCGAAGATGCTTAGCAAGTTTCTAATTTGAACCATATGTCTATTTTTTATTAATTAAAAGGTTAATTTAGAAATTAAATTTAATTAACTGACTGATCATTGCGATTAGCCCCCTATACAATGTCTCCCTGGCCGCATGACTCGCCTGCACAAACCGTGTAAGCGTAGCTTTCAAGGCTTTTTTTAAACAAATCTGTAAAATTTGAAAAAAATAACCCCATATTTTATCCAAATGGAACCAAACAAGCCAAATTGGCTATGGGCCCAGATGGTCTTTCAGTAACGTGTAATATGCATAGACCCTAATAAAAACCGTACTGAATGCAGGGGCTGGGAAACTGCACGGCCGTTCAGGCAGGGAGGCGCCGGGACTGGAGGGGGTCCTCACAGTGGAGCCCAAGCTGCTCGAAAATCGCCACGTGGGAGGGTACCATGACGCCGGGTAAGCGGGCCATGCTCATGCCATCGGGGCTCGGATGGACAGAACTGGGAGTGGCGCAAATTTCCACAGGAAGAACACATTCTAGAGAGTGGCAGCGTCACGTGCAGCATGGGCGAATCGAAGCCTTAGGTTAATGTCGCCAACACCTGGAACAACATTCAAGCACCCAGAAACGTTGCACAGTGACGTGATGACGCCTTTGGAAACTCGCAAAAGTTGTTAGATCCACCACGAATTTCCAAGGCAGACGGCGTAACTTCGGCACCTGTTGCGGTCACGTTGCACGTGGCACCGAGTGGTCGCAGCTGGCAGCACAATCGTTGCCAGACTCCCCGACGATGAGCTTGGCTTGCTCACAGTCAGGCGAGGTTCAGATGAGCAAAAAACTAAGTTTTTTGGGTGGTGACAGTTGAGGCTTCATTGCAGTCAAAGTGGAATGCGTCTTCAACTTGCGTGCTTACCATCTCCTCGTCTGTTGTCCCTCAATTTCCGCTGGATGAAGTCATCGCAGTGACATAACTTTTGCCTTCCGCGTATCCACCACTGCAATGGCAGTGGTGGATACAGAAGACGTCTGTTGTGCTGCAGCTCGTTCTGTGGGCAGACGATTAGCTGAAACCAAAGCAGACACAAGGTGAGACACCACGACGATGGCGACTGCTATGTCTGTTCTTTACCACCACTTCACCAACTGCCAGGATTGCGATGTTTGACAGCACGACAGACAGGTTCTCGCGACGTAATTCGTTGTCTCTTAGTGACCACACTCGATGCATGAGCGGTATGGGACGTTAAACACACCATTCGAAGACACATTTTAGACATTGCATTCAAAGTATGTGGCGTGCCTGTTCTTGAAAGTTTCTGTGTCGCGCGACTTGAAAACAAATCGGTGTCGGTTCGTATCGGAGACCCGAGCGTACTGAAGTAAGTGGATGGCTTGCCTGCCTCGTTAGAGAGAGAATGTTTATTTGCTGCTCTCGTGTCTGGAGCTCCACCATTGTTGTCGATCATTTTTCGCCAAGCAGGCTCTTCGCACGTCGAACTAGGAGGGGCCACGGCACGGTCTTGAACACCCCGTGAGAGTCAGCCCACTCTGTCCAGCTTTGAGGGTGTTGGTGGACAGAGGGGAAAAAAGAGGAGGTCTCGTGATGTGCAAGCGTTGAAATCAGTGGCAGATCCAGGGGGGGTCCCTGGGACCCCGAGCCCCTCCCAAGACATATCAGGCCACCTCCCCTCGCCCTCCCCCCCCCCCCCCCCTCCCCCCGGCCATGCTGCACGGACTGCACAAACAAGAACCTGGCGCGAAACTTTGATGGATTCAAAACGTCTGTATCCAAGCACAGGAAATTTGAACTTCAAAGTTTGGAATTTAAAAACTTTACTGTCGAACATCTGAGGTGATTGTTTAAACTATGTATTGGTGTCATTTCTTGCGACTTGCCGGTTAAGATGATAAGCAGGGCAGCATTAGAGCACACCTGCATCGTCGTGACAATGTGACGCAGAAAAAACAAAACAACGAACCTGTTTTTATTTGATATTGAGCTTTAGAGCAGCGACCTTCACTGTCGTCTTCGGAGGGCTTCGGCTGGTCTGAGGGGATTAAACATTGCCATTCCTGAACATAAGAAAGAATATCTAAAATAAGCAGATTTGAGCATGACAGACTAATGAAACCCTTCTTTAGGCGTCAGGGTGACTGTTCTTTGAGGGTCATTACTTTCCTTCGAGCACCCTGTCCAAGCAATCTGCCTTCGAGCTGTCATTAGCACTTGTGAGTTGGAAAGGCTCTGGATTAGCAACTTCGAATGCCTTTTGTTGCCATGCCCAAGAATTCCTTCAGAGAGGCAAAAAGAGAAGAGCTAGCGTTATTATGAACAATCTCAACGTTATTGGCTGTTACTCCAATCTCATCAGGTCCCCCGCGTAGGGACATAGAAAAAATGTCTGGCTTAGATGAATATGGTGAAGCCTATGCCCTATGGCCACACTGAATGGCAACGAGCAATTGAATTTAATTCCTGGGATTTTGGATTAGAGTTTGTTTCTGTCTGGTGTCTGAGCCAACCGAGTCTTGCTTGTCCGTTTCGACCTTATCGCTTACATCACATGCAGCGCAGAAAAAATGGTAAGCCTTATTATATTGCCTTTAACTTATTTAGTGGTTGTTTTTCATGTTGTATGTTAGCACTACCGAGTCAGCTGAAAGAGTATTTAGGACATAATTTAATAAAATATTCAAGCTTATTTTGTTGGCCTCATTGTGCATTGCATTCTGGTGTAGAGCTTTTTGGCAAATGTTTCGCCATATAATAATAACTGATCTCGGTTATAACGAAGTGCAAAAGAGAACGAGAAATCGTGATCGCTTCGCTGTAGCCACTATTTCGTTATAACCGACTTCATTTATAATCGGTGTCGACAGTAGCCGACGCACAAATATCCTGTGGCAATCTCAAAATCTGAAATTTGTTATGAAGATCCAAAAGAGACGTGGTCTAATTAAACTCTACGCCTGTGATCAAAGGTTCTGTCGCACATGGCTAGGGTTTTATCTTTTTGGTAAATACTGAGAAACCCCAAAATTAACCTCCAAACTAGTTTTATCAAAATCAAAGAAAATGGAAAAAAACTCGAATCGGAGCTGTCCTTAAACAGCCGAAACCCAAGATTCACTGGAAAAAAAACCTGTATTACCGCTTTATTTTATTTTGAACGGGAACACCACCCACACTGAACTGTCCGCGAGGCTGCTGCTTCCTTCATACTCCTTATCGCCTTTCTTTCTCTTATCGGCACGGGACTCACGCACATGCTCCATCGAAGGTAAGGGAATCCTATGCCCTTTCTTCTTCAACGTAAGTCCTGATAAACTCAGATTTTTTTGCGAGTCAGCCTGATCAACCTCCAGAGGGCCGTCTAGCTAGCTAGAGCTTTCATTGCTTTGAGCGTGTCTCCACGCGTTGGTGCCCTAGCTCATAGGTTTGGTAGGGTTTTATGTTTTCGGGGTTTATTTTTCTCAGAATTTGTGGATGCTTTTTCGGTGTTTACTTTCTCCCGCAGATTCAGTCTCCTTTGGTGACCACTTTTGGTGTTGGACGAAAAAACGAGGTTTATCGGAGATTATGTTAAAGAAAATAGGGCATATGATTTCTCAACCTCAGGTGAACATTCGCGTGACCCGAATAATCGAAAGGTCATGCCCGTACCGACGAGGAAAAGAAATGAGATGTGGGGATCCAGAGCAAAAACCAGCCTCGCAGGCAGTTCATTGGAGGCAGTGTTTTGTGCCAAAATAAAACAGTAGATGAAGATTTTCTTCCCGCAAAGGTTGGGCTTTTCTTATTTATTGACCGATTTTGATAAAACTGACATGGGTGTTAAGTTTTGTGGTTTATCGGGATGTACCAAAATCCTAAACCATCATAAGTCGTGCGAAGTGGGCAGAGATGTGAATCAAGATACTGTTATCCCTTGCTTCGAAGCGGGAGATATCGAAATCGTGTCTTGAATTGTGACACTTCATGTTGCTTAGGAGGAAAGACCTCTCTCTACTATTTATATGTGCATTTAAGCAAAGATCCAACACACAGTGAGGTGTGCAGCGAATGTTCCCCCCCTCTCTCCCTCCCTCCCTTTCTTTTTTAATCCTGGGAACCCCCCCCCCCCCCCCCTTGGAGGGCTTCTAAGGATCCGCCCCTGGTTGGGATGGTCCCGCAGGTAACGCGCACTCAAGGGGTAGCCGGTACAGTGTGGGCACGCCGGCCAGCCGCGACGTTTTTACAAAAAGTGGGTGTAGTGCGGTGTCACAAAAGTCTGCGTTTGCGCCCTCTTAATGGGTGTGCCGTCTGCCTGGCTGAATCGGAGTGAGGGAAAGTGTGGAGGCGTTACGCCGCCTCGACTTCTGAGCCTCATTAGCTTGGTCCGGGGGCGTTGCTCAGGGTACTAATGCCCTCTCTCCCGTCGCAGCCCCCCTGGGATCCCGCCGGGAAGGTCGTGGTCCGACGGTTCCTCTCTGCCGCCTCTGAGCTCGGAGGGCAGCCGCAGCTCGAGCAACCTGCCCGTGAGTGTCCCTCGTGGCCCGCAAGGAGGCGGGCCTTTTTTGCGTGTCAGTCTATGCTCCGTTTCACCTTATCTTGTACCGCAGCGAAGGCTAAAAGCGCAAGCTCATAGCATTGGCAGCTGCCCTTTGTGCACGAGAGCTTGTGCCGCCGAGGTGTGCCATAGAGCAAGGAGCTCGCGCTTGCAGCCTTTCCTGCGGTACAACACAAGGTAAAACAGAGTATAGTGCCCAACGTGTCTCTAGCACATTGTTTGCAACTCGACCCATTGTTTGCCACGGAGGCATTCCGTGTCATCGTGACGTTTGATACGACAAAAACGAGACTAAAGGCCGGTTCACACAGTTGCGGCTGTCTACGACCGAGTGCGTTACAACCTCTTATGATCTCTTAAGACGTGAGAATGCACTGGCGCTATCTAATGGGTGGTCGTGGAGCACATGCGTTTTCCGGGTATTTTTATTTTTTTCGCGCATCATTCTTTCACTATTGGCTTGAAAATCTTTTGACAATGTTATAAACGACCATTCGTCTCACAAATAGTACTGCAAAACCTTCGCTTTGGTGAAATTCGGTTCCAGGGCTACCTGATAGTTGGCACCATTGCTCCAGTGGTATGTCCTCGCATCGTAAGAGATCGCACTCAGCCGTAAGCAGCTGTGAGTGTGTGAACCAGCGCAAGATGCAGCGAGTCTCTCGTGTTGTTTGATCGAATGCCACCACGGTACACTGTTCGGCTTCTTGATTCCAGTGAAGAATGGGCTTTACCACGAGCGTTGCTTGGGAACAGCAAGTTTCTTTCATAAAATTCCAAATTGGGCGCATTGATCTTGAAAGATTTTCCGAGCGAACCTATCGTCTACGGTCACTGACAGGATGAGAGCGGCAGGGAGGACTACATGCGCAAACATAGTGATGTGATGCTTTCACAGTCGTAGATTGGCTGGGGTGGCTCGTAGCAGCTGCTGCAGTGCTTCGTGAGGTAAATCCGAGTGTACACCAACTTGTGTTTTCAAACAAAGCGGAACACACCACTGGCACCGCGCATGCGGAGTGGGGTGGAAGCAAGAAGCATCGCGTCCCGCATCAACAAACCATTGGAATGGAACGATGTCGCCGCCGGTGTTAGTCCCCATGCTCTTTTCCGTGTTGGGAAATATTGGTTCTATGTTTTCCTCGTAATGTCTCACTACTTTCGTGGCCTGAGCGAAATTAATCAGGCTTCTTATACCGCTAGACTTTGCATAAGTAGTGTGGCCTATGGCAATTCATTCCGCATGATGCTGCAAAATGGACACTGAAGCCTGATTCACATAATGAAATTTTGCTCGGTATTTTCAGCCTCGACATCACTCGCGCTTCAAATGTGTGGACGGTCGCTGCAGTGCTTGCCATCGATAGTGAAAATATCAAGCAGAATCGGACCAAGTGGATCAGGCTTAACAAGTCGGTGATAGCCACTGGTAACAATGATATCTATCATTTTGTGTTTACTGTCTCCACTGAGCCCACTTACCCCAAACAGCCTTCAAACTTAAAAATATTTTGAGGCCTGCACTTACACTTATCACAACCTTTTGTCTGCTGGCTGTTGTTGTTTGTACGTGCAGATGACAGTTCGAACGAGTTTGGAAACGCAGACAACAGTTTGAGCGATCAGACGGCCATTTGAATGTAAAGCTGCACTGAATGTGGTCCGTGGGTGGTCTGGACAACTTGGCAGTTTTTCTGCGTTCATGTTGGAACAAAACAAATGCATTTGACGGACCCCAAGGATCCATGAATTCAGCCCAAAGTGCTTCCCGCACAAGCAGCCATGGTCGGATAGTGTCTGGTTTTCCCTTTTTACGGTACCTATCCACATTTTCATACGTACCAAACGGGCAAAAAACACATGAAAGCTGATCTTCACACCTTTCCCGGCTCCTTTGGTACAGCCCCAGTTGCGGCATTTTGATGAAAAGGCAGTTTTTAGTGTGGTTTATTCCAGAACAGCACAGGAACGCCCATCCTGGATTCCGCCCACACACTTCGACAGGAAGTGCGCACGAAGTGCCATTACCATGACGTGACGTAACTGAGTTGAGTTGTCGTATAGTATCTGCACTTCTTTCGGCAATAGACCTTTCCGGAAAATAACATAAGGCCTGTCAACCCAGCAGTGCACCGCCTGGCTCAGGGCATTGTGGGGCTGTTCCAATGTAGGCTTGGGCCAGCTCGTACGCTCCGTACATACGGAAGCTGGCTCAATTCTTTTCTTCTTACCAGTCTGTGTTCAGAGAACAAAGAACACAGAGCAAACGCATTCCAAAGCTGATGCATGCCCTGTTTTGTTGTCATACTGCTTTTTTTGTGTTCTGAAATCGCAAAATGCTAAGCAAACATGAACCGCTCCTTTTACTTACGGGCACTATTTCACGTGCCATGCATCGGATTGCCGTAGTGCGTTCACAAACCAATGGGAGGTGCCGCATATTTCGGAAATGGTCCACTAGCCAAAGGGCATTGTCATAGTGGGACATGTGCTGAGGGGATGCTTCCGTCTTTTGCCAGGCATCGTCGACATCCAGCCGGCAAGGGACCAGCAGCGGCTCTTCAGTCTCCAGGCTGCCTCCTATTGGCTCATTGTGTAAGTGGCCCCATCGTGTGAAATGAAGCCCCGTTTGTCTTGTGCACTTGCGTTACGAAGGAGTGGCAGAATAGGGGAAGGGGGGGGGGGGGGTGCACGCCAGTACGAGCCGCACACCGTTTGTTTTCTCGGACCAGAAAGGCAGGTTGACCTGAGCCCCACCCGTGTACCTTCTTTGCATTCTAGTCGCATCACTGGCACAGGGGTAGGAGTAGATGCACGCGTTTCGGCGCATTGGAGGCTGCCAGTGTCATACGTAGCATTCTTTGCTTTCTGACTTAAACTTGGGGTACATCATGGCTTGGTTTTTTGGGTTTTTTTCTAGGGACGAACAAATTTTAGCATTAGTTTAGAGAGATCGATACATATGTGTGTCAGTTACATTACCCTGGCAGCAGTTGCACCCAATTCTTCGACGTACTGCAAAACATCATCCTGGTTCGGAGGCTCGACACTGGCGCCACTCGCATCTGGACTCTGAGTGTCTCCCAGTCCGGGAGTCCCCTGTTGCTGTGTCGGTCTGAGAGCGCGTCCCTCTTCCTGTGCAGCCCTGGGAAGCCTGTGCCTCGAGGGACGCCGGATGTCTGTGACCTCCAGGCCCCCAACGAGGAGTGCCAGGGGCTCGCATCTGCCCAAGCACTGAATGTCCCGTGAGAAGACTGTCAGCAGCGTCGGACGAGTGAGCAACGCTTGCCACACGGCCACATGTAGGATCCTCTACAGCCTGCAGTGCACTTGCCAGTTTTCTCGCCGTCCGGCGTGGTGTCACATACCGTCGGGTGGCAGTGGACTTTCTTTTCTCTTCGTCGCTGTGGACAAGTTCTGACGGACTTGCGCTTCCCTGGTTGCCTTTTGGGGGGTTGATGACTGTTGTCCCAAGACGGGTTGATCTTCTTGCCACTCTTGCGAATGTCGTTCTTTCTTGTGGGGAGGAGGGGGCTTTGAGGTTTCTTCTTTTGTTTTGTGTGTCTGCCCCTGCTTCAGGCCACTAAACAAGCTTGGCAGCATCGTTCCACGGTGCTCGTGCGATGTAACTGCGAAGCAAAACAATCGGGTTTCCGCAGTGCGAAGAGCAGCAACTAGGTGCACCTCGAAGGATCCCAACGAAGTTCTGGGCCACTTTGAATTGTTTGTTGAGTGCTGTCATTGATGGTTAGTATGGCTGTGCTCTATACCCAGGATTGTGTGCAGCATTGTCAGCGGAATGGGTGTAGCTGCGACTTAAAGAAAGGGCTTTGGTTGGTTTGTCTGGTGTTTAGTAGAGCTGGTTCTTATGTCTTGTGTGACATTGTAGCACGCCAGGTGCAGCTCGCAGACCCACAAACACACACACTTCACATAGTCGGTATGCACCACCATGCCAAACTTATGTGTGGTTCCGAAATGTGCACCTTTATCTTTTGCCCCCCGTTTTACTTTTGATATCCTTCGGGATATTGCTATGCCCTCTGCAGTATGTAAATGGGACCTTTCAGTGCATATTTGAACTTGAATATCTGTTACTCGTTTCTTTGGACATTGCACCTTGGGAAAGTTAGATGAAATTATGGTTGTATTTTTTTGTTTATCCTTCCACGATTGTCCTCACATTGTACAATAGCCACGTTTGATTTACTTACACCTCCTGCACCGGTACAGAAAAGTGTAGGCTGGTGTACCTCCGGCCATATCTAAATACACTTACCGGATCCAGTAGGCTGCCCTACACTTTTCTGCACTGGTGCAGGAGGTGTAAGTATATCGAACGCAGCTACTGTTCCTTGGTAAGAATATTTTTGTATCTTCGTGTACTTTTTTTTTATTGCAATTTTTTTTAGAAATTGCACCTTGGGAAACGTGAGATAAAATTATGGTTGTATTTCTTTTTTTTTTTTTTTTCACATTGTGCAATGTTTTTTGGTAAGAATACTTTTGTAGCTTCGTGTGTGTATTATTTATTTATTATTATTTTTTTTTTCTTTTCAGATGAGATTGTTGGTATTATTCGAGTCAGAAAATCGCCCGAGACAGATTATATTCCGTTTCCGAATTAAAACTTGTTTCAAACCACCTGTTTCCGTGATTTCGGTAACATGCGCCACGCTATGATACAAAATATGAAACAAATAATAGCTGAAGTTCCCACGTAACTATTTTGTGCTGGAACACCTTTCTCTTAAAATTTGCAGAAAAACTCGTGTAGCTTTTCGTGGGTGGAAGGCGGTTTCGGTTTTCTGCGGGCACTGCATCGCGCGCGCGCCTGCCTTGAGCTGATTGAGGCAGCGCTTGAGGGCTTGTCGTGCGAGTCGTGCGCAGTGACGTCAGTGTGACGTGCGTCTTGAACTTGCGCATGCGCAATTAACACGTTCGCAAAGATGGCGGATCGAAGGGAGTCTTTGTGTGCATCACCGGCTTACAAGCGTCCTCGTCTGGAAAACGACAGCAATCTGCTTGGATTGAGTATACCAAATGACGTAGTAATGCCACCGGAGGAGTTTAAGCGACAGAAGTTTGCGTCGGATGCGGCTAACGGTAAGATTAAAGCCCGCAAAGGGTTCCTTCCCTGTCCGACAAGCTGCCAGGTTTGGGCGCACGGGCGGCCGTGCCCGCTTGGCGTTCGCTGATTGGACGAGCCGCTGGCACTAAGCCTAACGTGTCGGGCTCGAGTCGCGGAGCAATGGCCGCTCACTTTGGCCTTCGTGCAGTTCCCGACAGCTTGGCCGCGTCGGAGCCTGACCTCTCTGCAAATAAATTATGATTTGCGCCCAAATTTCTGTTTCTCGTTCATTTTTGAGCTCAGACCAGCGCTTTGGCGTTGCATTGTCGGGCGGCTGTCACGTTGGTTTGTTTACATCCATTGGCGCGACGGGTATCAGCTGATGGCACTGTTGCTTCTCCGGAGTCGAGTTCACTGCGCGCGGTGGCGATCTCCGCGTGGGCGGGGCGATTACTGCTTTTTCGCCGCTTTCCCACTCCGTCCGATCGACGGGGAACGGGCTTAGGTAGACACTTACTTTTTTCTTTTTCCCAGTTTCCGAGGTGACTTCGTCTAGCGATGCCAACTCCGAGATGTGCAACGGGGACTCCGGCTTCCACGAGCTGACTTCCACCAGCGGCGCTGACCTGCCAAACGGCGACGGGCTCTTTCCGGAGAACGACAACGTGGTGACAGGTGAGCACCGTCGGCCCATGCACCCTCCTAACCCAGGCACTACTGCCGGGCTATGCTCGCCCGCGTTACGCTTCTCCGCGTACTTCGTCTGGCGATCGAAGGAGTTAACCGCTAATGGTGTCCACGCGAGGCATTTGGAAGGAACATCGCTGAGAGATGACTCGCCAATAGCAGGAGACACTCAATTGTGCACTCTTGGACAACCTCACCTAAAGGCACGCGCCAAGAGCGACGATTTGAATTAGCCGCGAGAGGACGCGTCGTTGGTGTTCGAGGGGTACGCGCCTCTGGGGGGCTCACGTGTGTCAAGCGGCCTCGCGCACCTGCTTCGCTCTCGTGGTTTGCTTGCATGATCTTCGGTACATGGACATTAGATTCTTCGCGTCTGACAACATCAGCAGAACCTGCAGCGACCCCGGAAGTGTATTTTACGTGGGGGGCTAGCGGTCGAAATAGAGGGGGGGAGGGGGGGGGGTGGAGAGGGAGGAGGAGGGAAGGGGATTAAAATTGAAAGAACAACCATTACCAAGATTTCACAGTTTATAGAAGGTTTATTATCACTACCTATGCCATGTGTCCATACATTCATCCAAAATTCCTGTCAACGAAACAATGAGATGTTGACACAATCGGATCCAATAGTAGTAGCTATACGGTGGCATTGATCTATGGTGTCGATGTAAAATGCACTGGTTAATCGGGCGCCTGCGCGTAGAAAGCTCAAATTTTCAGCGACGGTGTACCTTAGTCGTGGACACATTCCTGTGAAATTTCTGGGTGCAGCTCAGTTCCTGTAAAAAGTTATAATAACGCAGTCTTAAAAATTTCAAGAAAGTTTACTACAGGTGGACGCAGTCTTCCTTGGGTGGTAAAGCTTCACTGGCGATGCCCTTTTTTATTTCAGCATGTTTCCTGTTTTTATGATTGTTTTTGAAAAGAGTGTAAAACAGTCTGAGTGTATGATAGGGTGTTCGTCTGAACGTAGCAGGCTGGCTCGCCAAGAACCAAGTGGTGTTAAGAAAATCAGATGCAGAAATACAGGCGAGAATGCCGCTATTTTTTTATATCTCCGACGGCCACCGTGATAGCGGCACTTCAACACAGTCTGCAGTGCGATCTCTCCCTTGACAACCTGTGTCACCTGCTGAGGCCTCCTCTGGCCTTGGGAGTTTGGATTCTTTATTCCCTTAAAGGACACATGCAAAGGAAAAAAACATTTTTTTTAGACAGCTTAGATGGAAAAAGGATGTCATAAAACGATTTTACAACGAAGAAACAAAATTTTTAGAGCTATATTTACGGCGCTATACGAATTTGTAGTTGGCGCTCGCGGGAGCCGCTGCTGGTCACGTGGTAGGCCTGCGTGCCGCCACGCTGCGTCGCTGCCGCACGCTGAGCGTTGTGCGAACGCCGCTTCAACGCGTTTCTCCAAGCCGCCGTCGCCGCTGCCGCACAAGTTCGTCTGCTTCGGGGCGCCGCCGCCGTCGTCTGACCGGCGCACAGGTCTATCACGTCTGCTTGCGCTTTTTCAGGAGTTTGGGCCTTTGGGCCTTTCAGGAGTTTGGGCCTTTGGGCTCTAAAAGTTACTTATTCGTCTTGGTTTTTTGTTATACTTCAAAGAAAGATAAATAAGTTACTTTTAGAGGCCATAGGAAGCTTCCGAAAGAGCGCAAGCACCACATGATGAATAAAGACCAGTCACGTGATAAATACAGACCACTTTTCCGCGGTGCCTGCGGGCGCCAACTACAAATTCGTTTTGCGCCGTAAATATAGCTCTAAAAATTTTTTTTCTTCGTTGTCAAATCGTTTTATGGCGTCCTTTTTCCATCTAAGCCGTTTAAAAGAAATGTTTTTTTCCTTTGCATGTGTCCTTTAACTTGATACATCTGTAGGCAGTCCCTCGTTGACGAAGGTTTTTTTTCCCCCACACAGACCATCTCCCTGACTCGCGCTTTGACTCTCCCCACGGAAACAGTTGCCCGATCTTTGTGGTTGCTCAGACCGCCAAAGCAACACCAATGAAGCACAGCTGCAATGAAAAAAAAAAGGCTAAAGAAATTTTTTTTTTTTTTTTGGGAACTCTACTGCTCAAAATAGAAGCAGACGAAGAAGACGCCTGGCTGGGTGGACAAAAACAGTGTGCTGCACATTCCCCCCTATGGCCAACTCGCACGTGCAGTATGGGAGGGCTCCAGGAAAATGACCAAGCAGGGGATGAGATCTCCCTGACTGCTGTGCAGGCCGCAGGCACCGGCTTTTCTTTTCTTCCCATTTTCTCTGAGCTGCCGTATCGTCCGCGGTTCACTAACACTTTGCTTTAGTTTGTAATCTTTTTCTGGAATTTCGTGGGCAAAGGTTGTGCTGTGATTTGGTGGGTAATCAGCCGTAACCAAAACAGAGCCACGTGCTTGCCTTTAGCCAAATATGTGGCTTGGCGGAGCTGAGGAACGACGGGAACATAGATGTGGCGGGGGTGAAGGCATTGTTCAGCACCCCCTGGAAAATGTCAGCGGGTGCTCAAGTCCCCATTGCCCCCCCCCCCCCCCCCCCCTTCCCAGTTTTGGGGTCCCTGAGAACCTGCTATTACAAGATAGAAAAACTTGAAAGAGAAGTGTTAGCCGGCGACAACAAATGCACGGTATTTGCGGTGACTGATGCTACGCATGACGATGTTGGGGAGTTTGAGAAAACTGTCTCACAACTTCAACATGACTGAGCCCTAGCCCAGTGAAGATGTTGGCACAGTGCAGCTTGCCAAGCAGCATGCCATAATCCAGCTTTGCTCAAGTTGTTTCAATCGCAACTTTTCGGTTTTGCTATCACAAGGTAGAGAGACGGAAATGACATATGAGGTTCCTGCTTCGAAATATTGTGGTCAGTGGAAACTTAAGAAGTAGCGGCCCAGCCTAAGGCATCGTCTGCTCATTTGAATCATATTGCCAAGGAAATCGAACTATAGGGGGCACTCTGTCCGTTTTGTTGTCCCCACGCCTTGGTGTTTATCCAACACAAGGCCTGTGGACATGTCCGCGTCATCTTCGCGGGGCTTGATGTAAAGTGGAAATACTAACAATAAACAAAGTGACGTTTATTGTTTGTGCCAGATCTCTTCCAAAAGCAGTCGTAAGAGAATGCGAGCTTGACCCACTTCGGCTTTTGTGCTGAGCTGGGCATATGCACCGTGCATGCTGCATGGTTCATGCAGGCCGTAGTGGTAACAAAAGAGCCTGTCTTTCCTAACGGGTGATTCGAGAACACAAACTCCAGCCGAACGCTGATGCAGCATTCACTTATGTCAGCCGAGCACCGAGTCATTGCTATTTGTTGCCCCTGTTTGTGTTCTAAAGTTAGCTGCTTGGAGTGTTATGGTCTGATCTCCTCCTCAGTAGGGCTGCCGGGAATGTCTCGGGCATCCGCGCTCGTGGTTGAGTGGTGAAATGCATTTATCCTTTGATCCGGCTGCCCTGGATTCTATTCCTTTAATCACTTGAAAAGGACTACACTCCGGAAGAGCATTAGAACCAAGGACACCCAATCAAAGAAATAATGCATTTAACCCCTCGACCACAAATGGAGACGTTTGCATCCGCCCTCTCGGAGCCCTATGTGAATTAAATTGACAGATAATGCGCCAGTTTCCTCGGTGGTGCGCTTTAGCTCGGGAGCTTGCAGCACTCGCAAACGCAACCGGCGAGATCCTTTCTTGGAGACACGGGAGTGGCCGCCCGAGTCCTAAGGTGCGTCGGTGCACGTGGGGCCTTGCAGAGGGTGTGGCCCAGGAGAGCCCCGCCTTCCTGGGAGCCCTGGGGTGCGAGGAGGATGACGGGGCCTCGACCCTGAGCGAGCTGTCGGGGCTGTCGGACCTGTCGGAGCCGAGCAGCGGTTCAGAGTGGAAACCGAGCAGCGAGGGCCCCATGGGCTGGGTGCAGCGGCAGATGAGCCTCGGGGCAGACCCCCGGGCTCTGCTAGAGCGACTGCTGCCCGAGGGGGCCTTGGTGCCTCCCAGTCTGGACCGCCTCACCCTCTGGAGGATCCTGGTGAGCGTGCTGAGCGAGGACGAGCCCCCCCGCCGGGCCAAGCTGCCCCACGTGAACACCCTGGACGACGTCGTGCACCTGCTACGCTCCTGCAGGCGCATCCTCGTGCTCACCGGCGCAGGGGTGAGTGGCTGGTGGTGCCCGCTTCTGCCCTCTTTCTTCTCGTGTCTCTCGGCCTCTGGTCTCCCGGCCTATCCTCCGTTTCACTCTAAAGGCTAGATTGCACACTCAGAATTACTTACACCTGTGTGCCCTAAAACCTATTAAAAAGCATGTGCAAAGAAAAAAAAAATTTTTTAAACAGCTTAAATGGAAAAGGGATGTTGTAAAATAAATTTACAACAGAAAATTTAAAAAAAACACATTTAGGGCTATATTTACGGCGCGAAACGAATTTGTAGTTTGCGCCTGGTGGAGCCCGCGAGAAATTGGCGACTAGCAGTCACGTGACTGTCCACTTGTCATGTGGTGTTTGTGCTCCTTTGGGAGCTTTCTTTGGGCTCTAAAAGTTACTTACTAATCTTAACTCTTCCTTTTTTTTAGCAAAATTTCTTGATGTTTAAAAATTGTCGCTTACGTTTTAACTGATACAATAACAAACAAAAGCTTCGCCATTTTCTCTTTGAAGGGGCATGGTGTCACATGTTTTAGTTTCTAACATGTTTGTTCCCCCAAAGCGACTCTGCTGCTCAACAATCACGAGGACTGCAGCCCTTCGTCGAGCAGCGGCGTTGCTTTGGAGGAACCGACATGTTAGGAGCTAAAACACATGACACCACGCCCCTCCAAGTAGAAAATGGTGAAGCTTTTTTTTTTTTTATCGTACGAGTCAAAACGGTAGTGGCAATTATCTTATACTTGTTGTTTCTCAAACATCAAAATATTTGTTAAAAGGGCCCTCCGGAGCGTTCTGCGATGGTCTATTTATGGCGGTAACTCAATCTACGGGCCCTAAGGATCCTAAAAATCATAAAATTACGGTCATGCGCGGCAGATTTCCCTATTAAAATTGCTATCAGAGTCCTCGGTTCGCCCCCCTTTCTGAGATGACCCCGGAAAACGGGAGGGGCATCTCTTTACGCGACAGCCAATAGCAAGCGAAAAATTCCGGCATCGCTGCGCGTCACCAACGCGGCCGACCCGCGGAGGAATCTCTCCGGACTTTGTGCTCAGCAGTCTTCGTTTGTTGCACCGCACCGTCGCGCTGCTACTGCAATACGCAGTCGCATTCCACTGATGACAAGGAAAAGTTTGACTTGTTGACGTGGAAGGATCGCAAAGCTGGCTTCGGAGTCGGGATCCACGGGAAGAAGGAACACATGTCCCGCAAACGCACGCCTGCAGACGCCCCGGGAAGCAGACGAGCCGACGCGCCGACGCATCACCCCCTAGCAACAAGCTTGCGGGGAGAAAACATAGTTTGCTGGTTTTGGAGCGATAATTGCGGACTATGTTTCCCGCACCACAATCAGTTTACGTTTTTTTTTCAAACTCTAATTTACAACAAGCTTAGAAAGTATTGCAATAATAACGTTCGCATTCACCGCGAGATGCAGCATTTCCATTGGTCAAGTTTTAGCGATGGGCAGGGAATGGGGGGATTGTCTCCCAAGAGAAAATAGTCCCGATATATTTCTTCTGCCATCTGCCTAATAAACGGTTTTGTAATCTAAAACTTCGTATACAAATAAACTTGCATCTACTACGCAATATAACAGCATAAACAGACGATCGCAGAAAGCTCCGGAGGGCCCCTTAAAGAAGGAAGTGCAACAAAAAATCAAAGATTAATAAGTAAACTTTGGAGCTCACAGGTAGCTTCCGAAAGAGCGTGAGTACCATGTGGCCAGTCTTGTGACTGCAAGGTGGCACTTTTTCGCGGGCTCCCGCAGGCGCCAGTTACAAATTGTTTGTGCCGTGAATAGAGCTCTAAAAAATGTTTGTTTTTCGTTGTAAATTTATTTTACACCATTCTTTTTCCAGTTAAGCTGTTTAAAAAATCAAAGTTTGTTTTCCTTTGCCAATGTTTTTCCTAAAATCTCTTGCGACAAGTGCAAGTAGAGAGCCTGGATTGCATAAAGTTTTCAACTGCTTGATCGGGGTCACGCGGCTTACGGAGCGCATTTGCCATGCGAGCTGGAGGAGGTGGCGAAAACATTGGATCGTCTGCTAGCGCCTCCGCCTTTTTGCTCACTTTCCTCGTCGCCACGCCATGACGCTACGCATGCGCACTTGCGATCCATCTCTGCAGGAGGCGTCCACCATTAAATTGCAAATGCTCCCCATGGTTTGGCATGGGCCCTTTCTTCAATCGAGGCTCTCTAACGACAAGAGAACACACCTGGCACCACCTTTGGGGTGGTCTCGGAACACTTGGAAATCTCCTATATTTTAGACTTTTTCCTGCCCTTCTTTTTTTTTTGGCTCGAACAGTGTGTGACTATCTTGTAAGCGACTATTTCTCATAGATATGTTTTATATTGCAAATGATACAAGCCCTTTGCTCTTGTGAAATGCAGTTCAAGGGTCACCTCATAGGTGGCGTCAGCGTCTTCTCTCGTCATAAGAGATCGCAAGAACTTGTTCGTAAGCAAATTGAAGTTTTTCAAACGGGCCTCAAGTGCGAGCCCAACGGAAGCTACCGGAGAGAACACTGGGGCATCCAGCACCGCCGCCCAGGATGTGTGCTCATGCAGATGCGGGCTTTGTTCGGGGCAACATGCTTGTGCTCGTAGCTGCAGCTTTGCTCGTACACGAAGAAGCAAAAATAACTACCAGTCAATGTTGCCTGCCATCCTTGCCGGGCCACGCAGTCTCTGCAAGGCATGGCGCTGTTACGGGGGCATTGACGTTTGGGGCCTAAACCCAGACGTTTTGGTTGTGCTCTTCGATTTTGTTGGCACGGTTTTGGGAATGGGTTTGGGCAAAGGCATGGAACGAAGCAGTTTGTGAAATACCACCGTGTTCCACCGCCAGGTCTCGGTGTCGTGCGGGATCCCGGACTTCAGGTCGCGTGACGGCATCTATGCGCGCCTGAGCAAAGACTTTCCCGCGTTGCCGGACCCCCAGGCCATGTTCGACATCCACTACTTCCGCAAGGATCCCCGGCCCTTCTTCAAGTTTGCTAAGGTGGGTGTCTGCCTGGCTTGGCCGATGGGGAGGGGCGTTAAGGTCTTGTTGAGGGATCGTCCTCGGCGGCTGGCAGCGAGCGTCTGTCGCGGGGACTGAGTGGGTGCACCTCTGCAGGAGATCTACCCAGGCCAGTTTTTGCCATCTCCCAGCCACTGCTTCATCAAACGCCTAGAGGAAAGCGGGAAGCTGCTGCGCAACTACACCCAGAACATCGATACCCTGGAGCAGATGTGCGGCATCCGTAATGTCATAACCTGCCACGGTAGGTACCTCTCCCACTGGGGGAAGGAGGCGAGGGGGGGGTTGCATAAAGACATAAGTGGAGCATGACGAATCTTGGTGGTGGTACCGTTAAGAGGAGTGTGGTAAAGGGCACGAAGCAGGAAGAGAAAGCGGGCAGCACGTTAGGCACATTTGTGTTCAAGTGCTTGTCACCGTGACAAAATGTAGCTAGAAAAGGGAAAGTGCCAACCTTGCAACGAATCATTTGATGCTGCTTTGTGGTTAGTTTAATCTGGGCCCAGCTGCACCTGCTGCCTCAGTGGCTCCGAGGCGAAGTGCCGGCCCACGGGTCCCTGGGGGGCGGGTTCGAGTCCAAAGTGCCCACATTCCGACAAAGCTTTATTGGAGAAGGCACTGCGTACCCAAGCTTTAGGTTGCATGTCGTAAGATCCCCAGGTAGTTGAAATTAATCCCCAGTGCTTTGCTGGGGCGAGCCACATGCCCTTCCTTGGTTTGACACGTAAAACCCCCCCTTTTGAGTTTGGCCCACCAATACCATTTATATCTGCACTTTGCCATTCCAGGACAGCTGAAAGGAGAAATGGCAGTCTTTTTTCTCTACAGTTGTTGTACAAACTCTGTAGTCCCACCGTCCCACTCACCCTCGTGAATTCTGTCTGCAGGTTCCTTCGCGACGGCCTCCTGCACCAGGTGTCGCCACAAGGTTGACTGCCACACAATCAAGGACGACATCTTCAACCAGGTAGGCCTGTCCCTGCTTGCCCACCTATATCGAATGGCGCTGGGGTCATCAAATTGTTTTTGCAGTTGCCCAACTTTTATTTAGAGCTACGAGTGGATATAAGTACAACTCGGTCGGCACAGTAATGAGCTTATGCATCACTCGAGCTACGACGCACTTTGGCACAGAGTCCGCTATACCCGTTGGAGGGGCTGCGCGAGTGTCTTCTTTCTAAGCCAATAGTATGCCTCGCTATAGCCCGCTTGCAGTACATGGACCAGCGCTACAACTACGGCATTTCCCAAGTTTGTAAAGTAACGACAACTAGTTTGCTACACTGGTTGCACCCTTGCTCGTTGGCGGGTGCCGGCTAGTTCTACATATCTGTACACGTCCGAAGGTGCCGCTCCTGCTCGAAGTGTGAGAAGTGAGCAGTTAACGTTGAGAAATGCGTCCGTCGGGCTTCGTGGGGCACTTCCCTCTCGTGCGCCCAGAGACTGACTTCCGGGTGCCCCCGCAGAGGATCCCCCTGTGCCCCGAGTGTCCCCCGGGGGAGGATGCCATGGCCGTCATGAAGCCGGACATTGTGTTCTTCGGCGAGGGCCTTTCCCCGGAGTTCCACCAAGCCATGGCCCGTGACAAGGCCGAGTGCGACCTGCTCATTGTCATGGGCTCCTCTCTCAAAGTGCGCCCAGTTGCCCTCATCCCGAGTGAGTGCTTCCCTCTCCCTCGGTCTGCACTTTGTGCCCACTGCTGCAAAGTGGATCCTGAAGTTGCGACGGCGACGGTCACATTCCCTCAAATACGGCTCCGTTTTCTCGGCTTCGGCAGCTGCTCAAGTGAGCTACGTGGACCCTCCTTGCACTCTTGATAGTGCGGAAAACCTTGTATAGTCGGTGACCAGATGAAAACGGCAGGGAGCAGTTTTAGTTGTCCCGCCTCCAGCTCGAGCTTTCTACCTTTAAGCTTTCTACCTTTCTACATTGCCTGGGATGGTCAACTTTTGAACCATTCCCTCAAATTGACTCAAACTTTCAGGATGAATTAGCACCTTCCACTTTGAGACTTTGTTGTTTCCCTTTTCAGACTTTGTTGTTCCCATGGCAATAGCTACCTGTTTGTGTCGTTTGTAGGCAAGCTAACTTTTGTAGCAGGTAACCTTGGTAGCAGACAGATAAAACTGGCGAGAACTAAGAGGCAAATCATAAAAAGGAAGAGCAGCAATGCAGGAATAGGATCTGAAGTGGAAGATAGTGCGAAAGGGTGTTACTGAAGATGGCACAATATCACGTCACTGGGCAGGACCAATCTTAAACCTTGTTTTGAGTCTCAGCCAATAAGATTGCTCATAAAACATTTTCTGGATTATTTTTCTGTTTGGATGTAAAAGGTTCTCCTGGCCCTTAATACTTTTAAACTTGGAAAGCTTCTACGGGCTAAATTTAGAGTAAATGGCGCTTTCAGTAAGGGTGAGATGTTCTGGCTATGGTAAACGAGTATGAAGCAGCGCTAAATAAAAAACGCAAAAAAAACTTGCTTTATGCTAACTGGAAGGTTGCTGACATGTCGAAAATATTTTATTGTGAGATAAATCCTGCATCTTTATAAATAAAAGTTTCTGAAAACATTCTTTGGAAGTTAATAAACATAACCATATCATTTTTTTAAAACATTTGAATTCCGAGGCCATATCCCCCTTTAAAGGGGCCCTCCGGAGCGTTCTGCGATGGTCTATTTATGGCGGTAACTCAATCTACAGGCCTTAAGGATCCTAAAAATCATAAAATATACGGTCATGCGTGGCGGATTTCCCTATTAAAATTGCTATCAAAGAACCCGGCACGCCCCACTTTCTGAGATGACCCCGGAAAACGGGAGGGGCATCTCTTTACGCGTTAGCCAATAGCAAGCGAAGGATTCCGGCGTCACTGCGCGTCACCAATGCGGCCGGCCGCCGACCCGCGGAGGAATCTCTCGAACACGCGCGGACCGTCGTCAAGGAGCCCAGACTCTCTGCTCGGCAGTCGTCGTTCGTTGCACCGCACCGTCGCGCTGCTACTGCCATACGCAGTCGCATTCCACAGATGACAAGGAAAAGTTTGACTCGTTGACGTGAAAGGATCGCAAAGCTGGCTTCGGAGTCGGGATCCACGGGAAGAAGGAACACGTGTCCCGCAAACGCACGCCTGCAGACGCCCCGAGAAGCAGACGAGCCGACGCGCCGACGCATCACCCCCTAGCAACACGCTTGCGGGGAGAAAACATAGTTCGCTGGTTTTGGAGCGATAATTGCGGACTATGTTTCCCGCACCACAATCAGTTTACGTTTTTCTCAAACTCTAATTTACAACAAGCTTAAAAAATGTTGCAATAATAACGTTCGCATTCACCGCGAGATGCAGCATTTCCATTGGTCAAGTTTTAGCGGTGGGCAGGGAATGGGGGATTGTCTTCCAAGAGAAAATAGTCCCGATATATTTCTTCTGCCATCTGCTTAATAAACGGTTTTGTAATCTAAAACTTTGTATACATATTAACTTGCACCTACTATGCAATATAACAACATAAACAGACGGTCGCAGAAAGCTCCGGAGGGCCCCTTTAATGCCACTTTGGCGTCCGTAAGCTTCACGTGTGTGCGCGCAGCCGAGGCATAGTGAAAGGCAACAAGCACGTGCTAGAGGTCAGGCACTCTTAAAGGGAAGCTACGGAGGTTCTTGAAAAAAATAAGTTAGAAGTGAATTCTGCTGTATTTCTACCCTGTGAACCCGAATACCCAAACCATTTGCTGCGCAAGTATTGTTAAACGCGAAAGACAGTCGCTATACATTATGTCATCGACGGATCTTTTGGCTGCCCAAGGCTAGGGAGGCAGGGCTTCAGCCCTATTTTGAAACTGCTCTTATGGCTCTCCGGCACGTCGCATTGAAACATAATTGTGACATCTGTTATTTTAAAGGTGAAATGAACGCAATTCAAGTGTTTTTTCTCAAATGCAGAACTGCCCCACCTTCCCTTTAAGAGACAGCCCATCGTCCTCACCTTGTCCGCAACTATAGCTGCTTTGCAGACTGAAGAAAATGTTTTTTTGGGGTAAACAATGCACGAGAAAAATTTATAAGTGAAACATTGGGCCTCGAGTGCGCATACCTGTACTACGCCAGAAGCCCAGCTGGCAAGGGACGGCGTGGCCGAGGGGTCGATGTGGGGAAGGGATGCCTTATTGTCGCATAGGCCGAGGAGATGTGCGGCTCCCAACACCTTCCTCCCCCGTGTGCAGGCTCAATCCCGGCGGACGTGCCCCAGATTCTGATAAACCGGGAGCCCCTGAAGCATGTCACCTTCGACGTGGAGCTGCTTGGGGACTGCGACGTCATCATCCACGAGCTGTGTCACAGGTGGGTTTCACAGCACTTCCGGGCAAGGGCGCCCCGTGGCGCGATGAATATCGGCGAAGCCGTTTCCCTGTCTCCTCCACCGCGACTCGGTCGAGTGCGTTGGAACGAGGGGTAACCAATCTGCTTCATCGAAACGACAATGTCTGGCGGCATCCACCTTTTGGCAGGACGCAACTTCGAAGCTGCGCCGAATGTGCGACACATTTAGTTTCATTTCTGTGTAACTCTTAGGTCCACCTCAGACAGTGCAACTTTCCCAGCAATTTCGGTGTTGCTGGCAAGTTGTTCCCTAGCTTTTCCTAGTGCGACGCGAATTGCTGAGATATCATCTGGCTCGAAACGAACAAGCTACTCGGACATCTCTGAGAACTCAACTTGAGCCGCATCTCCTTATAGTGTCAATCGGAACGACAGAGGCGAAGCACATGACGGCCCTGCCAAAGATGCAGGGGAGAGAGCGTAACCCCAGTAGCTGGAGAACAGTGGAAGTAGTTAAAGGGACCATAAAATGACCTTTTTACTTTTTCCAGATAACTTTTACATTAAATTGTCAATGTTCACTGAATGCCGAACAGGCATCCGTTTTCGTCTCGGTTTATTAACTTCTACGCAAAAAATTTATGAAATATCGACTTTTTCTTTCTCTCCAACTGACCGCAAAACAAGCCGTGACGTATGGTGTTTCCGGAACTGGAAGTTTTCTCGGCAGTAGGAGAATGGGAGCGTTAGCAGCGACGAGTTGGGGTGGGCCGGTAGGTTTTACTGCACTGATGTCACCGTCATATTTTCTGAATCGGCGCCTCTCATCGCCGCATCCCAGCTGAGCGAAATTCAATGAGATATGTTGCGCTACAGCGACAGCATGGGACTAGTCCCATACGCCGGTATGCCTGTTGGGAAGTGCAGCGAGTCTCCCGGTGAAGACTCTAGAAGTCAACCCAACTGTCATTATTGGTAAAAGGCGGCCCGTGTCAGTCGTTTGCAAGCGACGCAGATGGAAACAAATTGCATCGGCGTTTTTCGCGGCCTCGGAGCTGCAGGAGCGAGCCGACGTTAAAAAAGATATGTTTGAACTACGAGTGTCAGCAAGAGCCACGTAAATACCTGTTCACACTCAGAGCGGACGCGCTCGTTTGATGGAAGTGCTGTATTCGCGCTGTTGGTATGCGCTTCAGGACCAATCTTTTACGATTGCAACTCGATACTGACGCGACACTCGGCAAAGAAAGGTTGGACCGGCATTGCACGTATACCTCCCACGAACTGTTATAGCTCGACAGTGACGTGCAGTCTGTCAGAATAAAAATGGCATACCAATAACAAAGTGCACATGCCGTGTTACGAAGGTAATCCATACGGCGTTTATTTCAGCTCTATATCACACAAAACAAGAAGATAGAATCGACGAGAGTCCCTTTTCGACGAGTGTTTGTCAACACTGCCTCGGAAAACAAGGGGAAGAGATCAGGGACAGCACCAAGGGGAGGCGAAGGGTGGCGGGCGCCTCCCCTAAAATTTCTCCTGCCACCCCAAGATGAAGCAGCTTTGTTGACAAATTATTTCCTACGACGTCGGTTTGAAGACCCAGTGTAACAAGTTTCCAGACTTTAGAGCCTTGCATGCCTTTTTTTTCTATTAACTTCCAGCCACTGGAAGTTGTACCGTGGGCGAGTAAGCTATCAAGCGCTTTAGAAAAAGCAGCTCCCCTTTGTGACGCCTGCTGGATTTTCTCTCCGTATAGGCTCCTTGCACTGGCATCACATCGCACACATTTGAACACCAAGTAAAAGGAGGAGAGAGAAGCTGCTTTTGTAAGAATTTTGAGTGACAGGTTAATCTTCTATAATCTTCTGGGAGGAGAATGGCGACGCCTGTGCAAATCCGGGAGGCACAGAGGAGGATCCCGATAAGAGGGGAGCTCCTTCTTCCCTTCTTCTCTGGAGGGCAAGGGAAATGACGTCCTGTGCAAGCCACGTATTCCCCTCTGTGGTGCTTATCTTCAGCGGAGACCGGAGACGTGAACGAAAGGGAGCTTAGTTAAAGTCGAGGTCATGGGGAATTCCGGACTGTCTCAGAAAGGGAAGCAAAACCTGGCTGCGAGTCTGAGCACAGGGGGCAGAGGTAGTGGTGCAAAACTATCGATAGTACTATCGATAGTATCGATAGTCGCCAGAAATCTGACTATCGATAGTAAAAAAAACTATCGATAGTACTATCGATAGTCGACTATTGAAAAACTATCGATAGTCAACTATTGATAGTACTATTGATAGTCGACTATCGGAAAAATATTGTTAATTGACTATCGGAAAACTATTGATAGTCGACAATCGTAAACCTATCGATAGTGCTGTCGACAGTTTACTATCGATAGTTTTCCGACACTAGCAGTTTGCGTCGCTCCCTTTTTTTCTTTTTCTTGTTTTTTTTTTTTTTTTTTTTTTTCAAATCGGACATTAACTAGCCCAAGAACTTACCATCCCAACTTTGGTTTAGCTTTCAGTGATGACGAAGACGGGAGTTTGGGTGAAAAGAGGAGGAAGGTCAGGCGAGTGGCGGTGTGGCAACTGTGTTCACTCTAGTAGTGGTGCAAAACTATCAATAGTACTATCGATAGTCTCCATAGCTGCCAAAAATCTGACTATCGGTAGTAAAAAAAACTATCGATAGTCGACTATCTAAAAACTATCGATAGTACTAGTATCGATAGCCTACTATCGGAAAGCTATCGATAGTCAACTGTCGAAAAGCTATCGATGGCCGACTATCAATAGTCGACTATCGAAAAACTATAGATAGTCGACTATCGATAGTTCTGCGACACTATCGATAGTTTTTCCAAAACTATTGATAGTATCGATAGTCGATTTATTGATAGTTTTGCATCACTAGGCAGAGGTCCCTGCTGTGCTAACCCCCCCCCCTCTTCCTTCTCGTGTCTCCGCATTTCCTTTTTCAATGAGCACACCGCATAAGCCATCTTCGATAAGCCCGTGGGCGACAGCACCTCAGAGCAACCTCCCCTCCCCCCCCCCAATTCGGTTCGCCTCCCCACTGCCCCCCCATTATGAAGATCCTGGCGCCGTCCCTGGAAGAGATTGACCTCACCTCTCAATCTAAAATTGAGGTCAGCGATCAAACTATAATACGGAAAGGGTCCACAATGGTAGCGCGGGCATATTCCATTCAGCACGCCAGCCGGTCGTAGGCAGACGGTCTTGCGATGAAGCAACGCTGCGCCGAGTCTGAGTGCCTGCTAGGCCTATATTCTGAGCAACTCGCTTCGTCAGAGTCGGTGGTTTCGTGGCCGTTGTCGCTTTTCTCGGGTGTTTGTGGATCCAGCGTTCTTGTTTGTCGTGGTCTGTTTTAAGTACTTTTTTTCTTGCTGCTTGAAGTCGGCACGCACGAGAAGAACACATAGAAAAATAAATGTTCAGTCAGTCAGAGTTTTGAGAGGAAGGAAATCAAAGGAAATAACCGTTCGTCGGTCGTCGCAACTCGAGTAACTGAAGTTGGCCCTGCCCTACTGCGCACTTGCAGTAGTTGCTTCGTTTACCACACGATAGATGGCGCTTGGCTCTCAGCATGATCAAATTTGGCAATTTTCGCCACACATCTCTAATTATGCTACAAAATGTGGATCTGAATATTATTTAACAAAACTTTTAGGAAACATTCGCCGGCTATGTATTGTTTACGATCGCGGTGCTGGTGAGGTAGGCTCTTAACCTATAGGCAACGTGGATTCGGCTGACGTGCTCCGTTTCCGCGGATGCATCGTAGTGAAAAGGCAGCGAGCTTTCGAAGGAAAAAAGGCGCAAAAGAGTCCAGTTTTCTTTTAAAAGTATTATAGCAAATAATTTTTTTTGGCTCCCTATTTTTGTGTTTTTGTGTTTCTTTTCACACCTTTTACGATGTGCGGTATATGAAATTCGATTTTAAATTCATTTCATGGTCCCTTTAAAGGGGTACACTCCTGAGAGTGTCAACTTTTGAACCCTTGGCTTAAAATTAATGAAATTTACAGAATAGGCTGGTGGTCATGCTAGAGGGTGCATAACAAAATTTCGGGTCTGTTGGTTAAGTGGGAAGGAAATTAGGGCAGCTTCTATCAGCAACACCCCTACATTGTTTAGTTAATCTATCGTTGAAAAACTATCACAATACCCTATTCAAGATTTTTATTCGCTAGATATGTAGCAGAATGCCTAGGAGGTGCACCTATAAAAAGTTTTTTTTGTAAAAAGTCATTGATTTCTATCAGTTTTCTCTTCTGCAAAATTGGTCAACTTTTTGGTCTTCTGTGTCTCCGACGAAATGTCAACATTTTTTTATAAAAGACATCCGTAAAGTGCCAAACAAACTCCATAGGCACATTCCTTATTAAATTTCTGTCAGGAAAAGTGAAGAACAAGCCTTCTCTGTATTGCCATTATCCAATGATAGATTGACAAAAATGGAATTTATACCAAAAAGTGGAACGGAGAGAAATGTGTTCAAAGTGCTCCAAACCCTACCTTTTCTTTAGCTTCGGTGGACAGAAAATAATTTATAAAAAATTAACTATGCAGTGTAAACAAGGGAAAATTTCTGGGAATACTCCCTGGATGTAGATGGATGTAAATATGTAATTTTTCAAAATCAATGTTTTTTGTAGAATTTTTTTTTTCTCTGGGTAGTGTCCCCCCATAACCCAAACATTCTTTTCGGGGTCCCAGACGTAGCTATTCTCCCTCTAGAAGATAAGCCTGTCACTCAAAACTTGTAGAAAATCGACTTTCCTCTTCCTCCCGCCCGTGACATCGACAGCATTGTTGAAACTAGCGCAATAGATCATAGTCGGACCTCTCCCTCCAACGGCGCGAAGGGGCCAGGGCGTTTGCTCCTTGCCAAGTTATGGCGAAACGAAGTATGGTAGCCGACGACCACCGCCGACGTTCTATTTTTGGCACGATGTAGAATTATCTAGGACACACGCTTTCTTTCTGCGGTTTTGTGCTTTTGCGGGCCGGGCCGTTTTCACATCAGTCTCCATTGTTCCAGGCTCGGCTGGGAGGTGACGCCAGACGGGCAGCCCGCACTCACGCAGCTGGACTCTCTGCCCAGTTTGAGGGACTCGCTGGGGGCAGGGGGGGACGCCGTGGCACCCTGCAGCAGCTCTCCGGGTGAGCCGCCGACGCATGCTCTCTCCTCGCAGCGCATTTCACAGTTCGCTCCTCGCTCTCGGGCGGGTATCCTTATCGAAACCGGCGGTTAAAACACTGGCCCAGCTTTGCAAATGGGTAACGAATACTTAGCATGCCACTCCCTATCGACAAATTTCGTGCCTTCAAAACATTCCTGAAATTAACGTATCGCCAAACTTTAAGGCCCGTTCACACACCTGTGTTCGGAGCGACCACTATGCTTACGAACGAATGCAACCGCTGCGACTTCAACGACAACTGTGCGCGACGTGTACGCACACATGCAACCGCATGGAACCACACGAATCAACAGCCAATGAGAAACGAGCTTCAGCTCTTGCTCCCAGCCAATAGAAGCAACCCAGCTATGCTTACAAACACGGCGGACGGTTTCATGCTTGATGCTAGGTTGGCTAGGTCCTCACCGGAGCAGCCGGAGGTTTCAGCTACAGCGTACAGTCACGAAGATCTGCTGAGCGCCTACAATAGCTGTGTAAAGGCTAGTTCAGACACCGGAAACGAACCCGTTATCCACGACTGCTTCCGTTGTGACCGGAACGACCGCTCTGCGCCGCGCGTACACTCCTGCAACCACCACAACAAGCGCAGCGGGTCAGCAGCACGGCGACCGCCTCTCTGCCGCCGTCAGCTGTTTCAGTGGTGCCTCTAAGAAGAAGGGGACGCACTGCCACTCACTTGCGTAACAGAAAATAGACAGACCATCTTCTATGACCACAAACTTAACTTTTATTTTTCAGGATACGCTTGCAGGGTAGTGCTTAAGGGGGGATATGGCCTGGGAGGGTCAACTTTTGAACCCTTCACCCAATTTGGTTCAAATTTTGAGGGTTATTTCAGCACTATGAGGAAGGATAATCTGCAAAGTTTTAGCATTATTGGTCAACTTTACAGCATGCTACGGTTCTCGCACTTCAGAAAAAAGACACTTCATTAGGAAGTCTATCGTAGAAAAATAAAATTAGCTGGTGGCAAACTTTTTGCTTTAATGTGAAGAACAATACCCACAGTGCAACCTAGATAAAAAATAAATTGCGAAATAATCAATTATAACAAAAATAAGAACATCCCAAAATTTAAAAAGAAAATGTAAAATTTTTGTTTCAAAAAAAATTTTTTTTTTTCATGAAGGAGTAGATTTTTTGAATTGTGAAGTAGTCTATCTTGTTCCCCAGAAAATTTCAGTCCCAGAAAACCTTGAATGATGTCCCTCTGTATTCAGAATGTCAAATGATAGCTTTCCTAAAACAAGAATTCCTGCCAAAAAGTGAAACTGAGAAAAATGCGTTTGAAGTTTCAACTTGTTTTTTTTTTATTTTCGGACGATGCCAGAAACTCGAAATTTACCCGAGTCATTGGTGGCACCTTCAACTACATGAGCATGAGGAGGGCAGTGCGTTGAGGCCCCCGAAGAGATTCGTGAGCTTTGTGAAACTGATGCCACAGTCTCTTCCAACGACGCCTAGACGTACCGCGAGTTCGTTCTCTCGAAACTTGCCGAATGATGGTGAGTGCGGTGTCGCGACGATGTCTCCGCAAGTCGAGCAGCTAACAACAAACTAAAGGTTGATGTCAACTTCTTGCAAGCTCAGTAGTTTTCCGTGGCACTTGAGGCAGAGTAAAATCGCAACAAGAGTCTGCATGGCGGACACATTGAGGAGCCGTTCAGGGGCTTTTCAACGGGAGCGTCTGTCAGCTCCGGGTCGTCCGTAATCCCCGCGTCGAAATCGCGCAGGCTGAGCTTCCTCTCGAACGTGGTCAGCACATCCGATTCGGAGATGAAGCTGTAGGCTCCGATGTCCGCCAAGCACCAGTTGAGCTTGGAGATCGTGACGACGGTGGCGGAGACGGCGACGATGGTGCCGGCGGAGACGGGTCCCTGTCTCCGCCGGCCCTTTGTTTCCGCCGTTGAGAACGCCGGCCAAAGCTACTGCGAGTGCTAACTTTGGAAGCAGGCATTTCTCGGCAGAAAAACTACCGGGAACAAAGAGGGAAAACAAATCTAAACAGCGGCAAACTAGCGATACGATCAGAAGCGATACAATCAGAAGCGAAAGAAGCTGCCGATAGCGCGCGCAGGCGGCCAATCGTGAGCCCTGTTTTGGGTCACAACCAATGGGATTGCTGGTATCATAGTTCCCTCGTTTTTTCTGCTTGTATGTACGGGGTTCTCCCGGGACACAGATAGCCTCAAACGTAGCAAGCTTCTATGGGCAGAAACTAGAAGAAACGGCGCTTCCAACGAGGGTAAGATATCTCGGCTGCGTCCAACGAGCGCGGAGTACGCCTAATTTGAAAATGCCGAACTTCGCCGTCTGCTTGCTCGGCGGGCCGCCGCGCGCGGCCGCGAGCTTGCCGAAAATAATTTTTTGCGAAATAAATACTGCGCATTTATAAATAAAACTTTCTGAAACTATGCTTCAGAACATAGTGAACCCAAATATAATATTTTTGAAAATGCATTTTTTCGGAAAAAAATGGAATTTCGTGGCCGTATCCCCCCTTAAAAAAAGAAAAAAGATGCTGTACGCCGTCTTGCACGATCACAACTTCAATACACTACTTTGCCAACAGTACAAATCTCGTCACACGCCTTTTCTATGATTATAAAAGACGATGTAATCTTAGCAGTGATATAATTTCGTGACTGGATAGGCGTTGCGAGAGTTCAGGATTGCTAACACTAATCACCTTTCTCGGATGGTGAAAACTCGTGAAAATTCGCATGCTTTATACAGTGCGCACCAGTAATACCTTGAACTTTAACAAACGCATGGAATGCGCCAAAAAAGAAATATGGGCGATGTTCGAGGACACAAATGCTAAGAAAGTACCACTGCAGTCGAAGTAAACAAACACGACGGCACGGGCGTTTCTGCTGTCTTGAGAGTGCCGCCACGAGGTCGCCGCACGAGTAGGTGGATCTTCCCTTCTAGTACGTGCTGGGTTATCATAACGACACACGACAAAAATTCACAGTCAAGGATAGCGCTTTTACGGGGAACGATGAGCTTCCACCACGCCGTCCTTGTCGACGGTCACCACCGACGCCATGTTTGCAGCTAGAAGGAGGCCGGCACAATCGGCATGCAACGCGCGCGACCGAGCTCTCCTCGACCTGTGATTGGTCTGTCGCTCCCGTCGTTCCCGAACGTAACGAAAAAGTTCAGCCCGGCTCAACTCCTTGCGTTGCGAATGAATACGAATGAAACGACCGTTTGGCGCTTCGTTGCTATGGAAACTTGTCGTTCCAACCAGTTGCATTCGTTCGTAAGCGTAGTGGTCGCTCCGAATGCAACTGTGTGAACGGGCCTTTAAAGAAACTTGTATGGTATGTTTGTTTTAGTTTGCAGCTACGAATGTTCACGAGCTTTTCGTGACACAATTCGAGTTTACACCTACGAATGTCGGTGTAAAATTAATTGTTTAATTGTTTAGTGACAGCTGCTCTCCGTCTCATCTCTAGTGCTTCCCAAAGGGCGTTCCTGCACCTTGCGTTTTGCGTTTTCCCAGATCATACGTTTGGTTTTCCCAGTCCCCTAAAAGAAAAGTATGAAATGAGGTTCTACCGGACATGCTCAAGAGTGTGTGCACAAACGACGGTGGACTCGGAAAATTTATGGAGCAGCTATTAGATAGCGAGCGCTTTTGGAAGGGGTCCGTTGGGAATGCCATCTCTTGTCTTGAACAGACGCAGCAGTGCCAGACTCTACGAGCGGAGAGGTGGTGGAGTGCTCCGTGGGCCCCGACCGGCCGTCCCAGGGCCCGTGGAAGCCCAGAGAAAGCGTGGCAGCCAGACTTCCAGGTGGGCCTCCTGTCTTTGACTTTCTTGAGTGCCAACTGTCCACTTATTTCCGCTAATGTTTGGGGTAATTCGGCAGGTTGCCAGTTTCTCATTTTAAAGCCGTAGGAAATGTGTCTAAAGCGATTGACGCCAATTTTAAGGATTGAAAAGGAAGCGTAGGTAAAGTGCTTGTAACACGTCTTCGACCAGCGCGTTCGGCGTCCTATGCTGCCGGTTTATCAAAAGTGGTCCTAATCGGCAAGAAATGCCATTGTGGAAGCCGAACTGTCTAGCTATCGAATGCTGTGATCCCGGGGGTTGGGCGTAGAAACCCTGGCAAGGAGTAAGAGCAAATGTCGCCGTTGTCACGACATCCCGACTCCTGGCTGCCAAAGCTTCAGCGAGCCGTCAAAAGCGACCTGCTTCAGGACTGGCATCTGCCATGTCTTTCATCGCTGTTGCGACACTGCCAGGATTGCGGCCGGAGACAGCGTGACACTACTGCGACTTCGTCGGGCAGAAACCGAGGGACCACTTTTTAGGATGTCACAGACACACTAGTTGGAGACGTGTTCCATGCACCATAACATAAGGGTGGTAGACAATCTGCTTCTGTGTATTTTGGCTGACAAGCGTGCCACCTTTTCCTACGGTAAAAATGGAGCTCTCAAATGTCGCGCCCACGTGTCTTACAGGGGGCCACTTCCTGTTCACGCCTCCGTCGACGTACGTCTTCTCGGGGGCCGAGGTGTTTGTGGAGTCGGAGGACTCGGACTCTCCGTCCCCGGCCGAAGAAGAGTCGGACTCGTCCTTCAGCTCGGACGAAGAGGAGGAAGCGGCCGGGACGGGAAGCGCCATGGAATGCGAGGCCGCCGACCGCCCCCCCGTGGGACAGCAGGGGTCGCCTGGGAGGCAGGGCGAGGCCGAGACGGCACGTGGCTCCTGAGGCATCCCCGGGTTCCCACACCCCCCGCCGGGGCACTGTACATAGGCTAGGCTCATCTCGTTCCCTCTTCCCCCGCGAGACCCCTCTCCTCCCGCCGGACGGAGGAAGCGTCTCTCGCCGCGCTCACTTTGTAAATACGCTCATTGTCACCAAAGTTCCCGGCTCCGTTGGACTCCCTCGGCGAGAAGAGCGCTCGACCCCGTTCCTGAATCCGGCGTTGGCGTCTTCCCCGTGGCGCCTCGGCTCCCGTCGTTTCTTTACCCGCTTCTCGGCGCCGACTTCCTCCTCCCCCCGCGGCAGCAATAACCGGCAAGCTCGGGGTGTCGGGCCCCCCCACGGAGACGGCGCGTAGCGTAGCAATACCACTGGTTCGAGTATGCACACCGCTAGACGGGCTTGTCCCGCGGCTCCCTCCCCCCCTGCCGGATTCTCCGGACTTCCGAGGCCACGTTCTCAGTGGCAGGCCCTCTGCTGGCGTCGGGGCAGTGTGCAATGGGTGCGTGCGAAGAGAATCCTGCCATTTTGGTGCCCCACTCGGCCGGTTTGCGTGGAAGCTCCGGCCAAACGAGGACGCCCGTTCCCCGTCGTAGACGGAAGCAACCAGCAAGGTCAGCCCGCAAAGTCGGCCCAACCTCTGCGCCTTCTTTGAACAGCTCTATGCTACGGGCGGCGTTCGCCGGCTGCTTGGATCCACGACGCTGCCGCAGAGTGCACGTTTTGCAGCGTCGAGATTGTCATTCGGAGCGACAGCCCGTTTTAAGCAAGTCCCACTCGTAACTCGCGAATGTGTAAATAGTTGTGGGCCGTTTCCTCGTGTCTTTGGTATAAAGAGACCTTTTGGTGGTTCCTGTACATAACTCCTTATTTATTAAAAATTGTCTAGGAAAGGTTGCCTTTTTATTTGATACTTGAGAGATTTAACAGTTGAGGTAATTAGGCTTTGTATGTGAACTGTGTCAGATTGTTGTGTATTTGATGGTTTTATGTGAAAATACAATGCTGTTACCTTTGCACGCTTTACTTACTTCACTCGTACCCTTCCGAGGCTCACTGTGGCGCAGGCTGCCTGGAGCGACTCGCAGGTTTAACGTGACACTTCCGGCTCAAATTCTCGCGAGGCTCCGAGCTAATGAACCATGGTCGCGTGCGTGGCATGCGTTGAGGCTGCTTTTCCTGGAGTGTTGAAGCTGACTCGCAGTGTGAGCGGCAGCACAAGCCGGAAGAGAGACTATGCCTGCGCGTTGGTTAGGAAACATTGCAGTCTAAAACCAGAGACAAATAGAATGTCTGACAACTCGACACAAAATTTTAATGCATCCGAGTTGTTGCGAGAAAATGAAAACAAGTGCGCATCTACACAGAGACGAGGAACAAAGAAAGATGCATATTCCACTGCAAACTTGACTGAACCTGGCCAAACAAATTAAATTTGCATTCACACTGGCGTTCAAATCGCAACTGCGAAGCAGATTTCTTTGTTTTCATTGTCAAATGTGTGTGAGCTGCAAATCTTTAAGCAGCTGCGTTTGTGACTGACTTGTGTATGCAGTTCAACCCCCAGTAGGAATAAGGTTTAAACCCCGCCCCACACACACGCACGGTTTAGTCACCACCACGATGCAAGTGTAGATGGTGCCCTAAATCAGGGGGCCCAACAATCCTCTTCCCTATCATATTGGCATGGAGAGTTTCTTCCACAGAGGTCTGCTCGCCTTCGCGGCATCACCGTCCCGTTTGCGAACGTGCCTCTCCTCTATTTTACTACAATAACTAGGGGCAGGCGAGGCCCGCTCATTGTTTGGATTCGTGACTCATCATCTCTGTAATCGATGGTGTTCCCACTAATGATGCAAAACTCGATAAATCGACTATCAATACTATCAATAGTTTTTCCAAGACTATCGACAGTGTCGCAGAACTATCGATAGTTTTTCAATAGTCGACTATTGATAGTTTTTCTATAGGGTTTTAGGAAAACGTTTTTGCACATCTGATACGGTACAATGGGCCTTCCGGTACGAAGTGCACATTTGCAAGTCTTCTGACGTAGCATGCGCAGTGCGTACTGGAGGGCCTATCGTACCCTATCGTATGTGCGAAAACGGCTTTCTAAAACTCCCTATTATCCATAGTTTTATTACTATCGGTAGTCAGATTTCTGGTGACTATTGATACATCGATAGTTTTGCACCACTAGAGCGAACCCAGTTGCCGCATCGCTGCTCTCCTCCTTTCCTCCTCTCTTTGCCCAAACTCTGTCTTCATCATCACTGAAAGCTAAACCATACTTAGGATAGTAAGTGCTTGGGCCAGTTGTTGTCCCATTTCGAGAAAATAAAGCGAGAAAAAGAGAAGAGGGAGTGACACAAACTACTAGTGTCGCTAAACTATCGATAGTAAACCGTAGACAGTCCTATCGATAGTACTATTGATCGTTTTTTGATAGTCGACTATCGATAGTACTATTGATAGTGTTTCGATAGTCGACTATAGATTAGGGGTGTCGCGAACCGGCCGCGGTTCGAGTTCGACTTTTTCGAACTTTTAGTGGAAAGTTCGACGAACCTTGTATTGAGGTTCGACTCGTGTGCGCATACGCGACAGGCTGGCCAGTTGGCTTCGGATTGGATGAAAATGGCTAAGAGATGAATTAAGTGCAGCACTGATTGGCGATTTCAGTTAATACAGTACTAAAAATAAAGTTATTAACTTCTTCATTGATTAGAATTAGTTTCTTTTAATTTTAGGTGTTCAAAATATAAAATAACCCTTTGCATAAAAACTTTTTTTTCCAAACCTAGACATGCTTGCATCAAGGTCTGGCCACACTGTCCACAAAGTTGAACCGGTCGAATCTGGTGAAAAGTTCGAAGGTTCATCGAACCCCGAAAGTTCGACCAAAAAATCTGGTTCGACAAAAGTTCGCGACACCCCTACTATAGATAGTTTTTCGATAGTCGACCATCGATATACTATCGATAGTTTTTCAATAGTCGACTTTCGAGTTTTATAGACCGACGCGCGGAGCGGCTCTGTTTACCAACACGACCGGAAGGCCGCGCATGCGCGGTAGCTATGTGGGCAAAAGCAGCCCGGATCTCCGTGTTTTCGCCATTGCGTTCTATGGCGTGCGCTCGTTGTTGACGTTGTAGGGACGCTTTTAGCTTTATTTGTGCGTCGTATTTCCTCACAACGTATGTCGTATGCTATGCCCAACTATTTGAGCTCGTTGCCCGAGCCTGAACGGCAGCGGTATCGAAACAAACTGTAAGTGGACGGCGTGGCCTGCGAGGATTCGTACGCCGTAAACAATTGGCCTGCTGGACTTTCGACGTAAAGTTGCTGCCACGGAAGTCGACGGCTCACGTCGTGGTTTATTTAGTTTTTTCGCCAAGCCAGTTCACGGCCGACACGGTGCAGGCGTACAAGTCTCTCGAGGTCTACGATTACTTCGAGTCGGTTTCCATACTGCCGGCGGGATCAGCAGACTGTGGGTCTGCGCAAATGTGTGTATTCAATAATTGATTAAATACACAGAGCGTCTTCAAGTCAAGGTATGATATTTTTCCTACCCTCATGACTACAAGACATGACAAGCAGTAACGCTTTGTCCGTTCTGCAGTCTTGGCGGAAACAGGTTACAAGCAACGGCGTTGTTGGTAACGCGTTACTTTTTTCAGTAACGTAGTAACCCACCCGTTACGTTTTCGACACAGTAACGGGTAACGTACCTATGTTACTATTTCAAGTAACGTAGTTACGTTACTGGTTACTACTTCACAAGTCTTGAAGAAATTACACTTCAATTTTTTCCGTGTTTTAAACGTCAAGCCATGTTTTTCTTTGCGTTCTTTCTCGTAAGTATTTAGGTGAAGCCGTAAAAAGAGATAAAGTAATTATGTTCAGTCTCTGTATGAACATAATGTTTCTTGATATATGAGCTGTACCGTCAAAACCGTAAAATGTGTTAAATCATAATTTTAAAAAGTAACGCAGGAGTAACGTACGTGCGTTTTTTTATCGGTAGCGGTAACGCGTTCCTTTTATTTTTAGGCAACGTAGCTCAGTAACGCGTACCTTTGATTTGCAAGTAACGAGTAACGTATTTCGTTACTTTTTTTCGGTAACGCCTACAACACTGCCGTTGTGTCGCCGATCCCCTTCTGCTGGGTAGCGCGTGCGTAGCGAGCCTCCGACGAGCGCTTGGCCGGTGCTTTGTGAGAGAACATCATGGGAACAAAATCCGGGTGGTCTGGACCAGACGACGGTTTTCCTGTGCATAAGCAAGCCTCGGGACGGAGATTGAAATGAAAGCCGCACTTGCCTTCAAGAAAGTGTTTGCCGCACAAGCGGTCGTTCGCGCGAGGCGACCATTCTTTTCGATCCACGGATATTATCCGCCTCCTATGCCTTTCATAGTCTACCGGGAACTTGTGGAAACTCACTCCGCTGCTTTTCTTGCACATTTCGGTGCAATTAACGGCAACACAGCTTCGCGGCAAGCTGAAATGCTATGACGCCCATGCAAAACGTGCGCGCTTTTGCCCACACCCCCCGGCTCCGGCGCGATCGCAGCGCCGCCGCAGCTTCATGACGTCAATCCCGCGTGTCGGTGTATAGTCGGACGCAACCTGGGAACAATCTCTTAGCTCCACCCACAAGCGCATTGCGCCCATCTGAAGTGCCTCCGCCGTCGAGAAAGTAGTTCGCTAGCAACGTTGCTTTTTCTTCCTCCAGGAAACGTGTCTTAAACTACTACAATATTTAATTAATTCAGGACATTTAAAGGGACCATGAAATGATTTTAAAATCGAGTTTCATCCACCGCACGTCGTAAAAGGTGTTAAAAGAAACAAACACAAAAATAGGGAGCCAAAAAAAATTATTTGCTATAGAACTTAAAAGAAAACTGGACTCTTTTGCGCCTTCCTTCCTTCGCCTGTTCACTACGATGCATCCGCGGAAATGGAGCACGTCAGCCAAATCCAGGTCGCCTATTGGGTAAGAGCCTACCTCACCAGCACCGCGATCGTAAACAATAAATAGCCGGCGAATGTTTCCTAAAAGTTTTGTTAAATAATATTCAGATCCACATTTTGTAGCATAATTAGAAATGTGTGGCGAAAATTGCCAAATTTGATAATGCTGAGAGCCAAGCGCCATCTATCGTGTGGTAAACGAAGCAACTACTGCGCGTGCGCAGTAGGGCAGGGCCGACAGTTACATGGGTGGCGGCGACCGACGAACGGTTATTTTCTTTGTTTTCTTTCCTCTCAAAACTCTGACTGAACGTTTATTTTTCTACGTGTTCTTCCCGCGCGTGCCGACTTCAAGCAGCAAGAAAACAGTACTTAAAACAGACCACGACGAACAAGAACGCTGGATCCACCGACTCCGACGAAGCGAGCTGCTCAGAATATAGGCCTAGCAGGCATTCCGACTCGGCGCTGCGTTGCTTCGTCGCAAGACCGTCTGCCTACGACCGGCTGGCGTGCTAAATGGAATATGCCCGCGCGACCCTTGTGGACCTTTCCCGTATTATAGTTTGATCACTGACCTCAATTCTAGATTAAGAGGTGAGGTCAATCTCTTCCCCTTGTTTTCCGAGGCAGTGTTGACGAACACTCGTCGAAAAGGAACTCTCGTCGATTCTATCTTCTTGTTTTGTGTGATATAGAGCTGAAATAAACGCCGTATGGATTACCTTCGTAACACGGTATGTACAGCTGCAACGGAAAAAGAGTAGCACAAGTGACCGACGACCGGAGCGGCAAAATCGCGACACGCGGCGCTATTGTTCCCGAGCGCGCCGATAGCGAGAGTGCCAGTCACGTTCCATGTCTCAACGCGGGGGTGGCCGGCAGAAAATTGAGAGATAAGATAGCTGTTAAAATGAGGGCTTTAGGATGGGCTGTTTTTTGCCGGCCACCCCCCCGCAATGAGACATGGAACGTGACTGGCACTCTCGGTATCGGCGCGCTCGGGAACAATAGCGCCGCGTGTCGCGATTTTG